ATCGATCCGACCGCGCCGAGCGTCGAGCTACGCTTCGCGGCCGCCACGAAAATCAATCCCGCGACGCGTTCAATTTCCTCGCCGAGGAACCGGGAGGAAAGAGGCTCCCGACTCGCGGAACCCAGGAGACACCCGCCGCGAGGAGGCCCGACGACATGCTGAAGAGATTGCTGAGCAAGTCCGGCCGCAGGCTGCTGCGGGTAAGACGACGCCGCCGATTATTCCCGAGCGTTTCGCGTACCCTCGTTTTCCGCGGCGCATACGTCGACCCAATTCCCTCAGGCTCGCGTAACGCACGCGTCGCCGACCTGGCCACACCGCACCTCCTTTCGAACTATATCTGTCAGACTATTCGGAGTTTCGCGGCGTCTGCTCGGAGTGTTACGGTGCGTTCGCAGCGGAGCCGCGATCGAAAACGCGATCGGGGCGACCGTGCTTTTCTTTTCGAGTGGAAGCGTTCGCGTTCGACGGCTGGTGCGTTTAGCGATATCGATTCACGAGACGGTTGACGCGTTTTCGATCCTCCGAGGGCCTTTCCGATATCGTTTCGACGAAAACGCGTCCCTCAGCTTCCGCCGGCTTTCGTCGCGTAGCACGATTCCGACGAACGATTCGCGCTCGGCGCCGGCCGGACAGAACGCTCTTCCCCAATGCGATTCCGCGAGTAATCGGTCGGATCGAGGTGCCGCGACGCGTGGTCGCCCCGGCCCCCTCCCCGGTCTCGCGAAATTCGATCAACTATTCATACGGCTGGATAATTTTGACCGGCTCGACCTCGCTTAACATCGATTCGCTTAAGCCGGCGCCGCCGCTTCTTTCGAAACACGCGACTCTTGTCTCGAGCCGCGATCTCGAGTTCGCCGATTACCCGATACACCGTTGTTTCGTGTCCGCAGGCGATCAAGAAGCTGTCGACGAGGAGCCGGGAGGCGAAAAAGTCGCAGAACTTGACCTCTTGGCACTCGGCCATACCGGACCTCGAGACCGCCTCTCTGTCGTGGTCCCTGCCGTCCCTGGACTCGAAGAGCATCGACACGCTGACGACGTACGTCGCGGAGAACTCCGAGGACTGCGTCTCGTCGTGCTGCTACTGCGACGAGTACGAGGAGAACCAGAGGAACGAGAACATCGAGAACGAGATGATCGTGTAACGCTTCCTGCCCGCTCGTCCGCGATGGGACCTCCGTCTCGGACCGCTGGCGAGAATCGATTCCCCTCGAACGAGCGGGGAACCGGCAAACCGGAGGCTCGGATAACCGATGCCGAGCCGGGGACACGCGAACGCGAGGCTCCTCCCGCGCTCCGTTCCAAAGAGCACCCGCGGATTCCTTTATTTTTCGAGCAACGGAGGAGCCTCGCGAGAACCGGACCACGTCCGTCCTTCTTCGATCGACGCGGGCAGCGTTTACGCCGCGATCCCGAAAACCGCTGGCTGGTGTATTTATTTATTCGTGATCTCGTTTAGACCCGCAGTCGGCGTCGAAATCCTAGGCCGTACCAAATATCTGTCCACGAACGAGCAACGCGCGGATCCATCGCTCCCTCGCCGGTCTCGATCGTTTTTTAACGCGCGGGAACCGACGTTTCTTGGCTTCTCGAATGTCCGAAACATTGCGAAACAACGGGCTGAAACTGGTAGGATTTTTGGTAATCGATGCGATCGTCGAAATCGGCGAGGGAGCAGTCGGTCCGCGAGTCGGCTCCCGGAGATTCGTCGTACCTTTGTATCGAAAAGCAATGTCGACTACGCGCGTGGATGATCGTGTGCAATCGTGCGAGACCGTTCGAGCCAGACTAAAGAAATATTGTACATAACAGACGAACCGTTTCATCGTACGACGAATGCGTCTTCTTTCCCCCAGGCGTTGACCGCCGGCGAATCTACAACGAAACGATCAAACTCGCGACCGGACGTCCCCCGAGCGTTTACTGTTACGTTCTTTTCGACGTGCTCGACACACAATCGATGTTAGAGTTAGCTGACCACGACGAACCGAGAGAATGCGAAGACAAAGTGTGCACGCGTGCGAGAGAATGCGAGGAACATTGATGGAGGAGAAACCGCGGGTCGGATATATTCGACTTTTCTACGCCGCGTCTCGTTTGCACTTTTTTGCTCAAACGTGTTTGTCCGTCGACGGGAGAGCGAGAGACGAAGAGAGCAGAGTGTTGCGTCTATTCGGGTATAGTCTGTAGAATTTCTATGTATATATATGTTACACGAGCGTACGATGTATATAACAAAACGACGACGAAGCCGACCACGACGGATGAACGCGACGTCGCGGGCGTCTCGATCATATTTTCACTGTATGTCCGACGAGGCTGTGACTTTCTAATGGATGCGCGATTGTCGTGAATAAAATAGTTTTATCGACCGACTCCTGTGTTTTCCATGACCCCTGTGTGTTACCGTACCTCGACTTTCGATCCGCCGCGATCACGCGGTTGTTCAACGATTGCGTCCGAGGCGCCGTTCGCCAAGCCGAACCGTCGACTTGCCAAATGAGTCTCGAATCTTCCAAGTTTCCGCGTTTCGCGGAGGCGACGCTGCCAACTCGCCTCATCTCGAGAGACTCGCGTGTCGCAAGACCAACAGGAAGGATCGTCAATTAGATTCGATGCCGCGACTCTCGCGCTGTTACATCGTAATTATCCGCGATTCCTTTCATCGATAGTTCGATCGTTTCCGCGGGCGACCGGTAACGACCGTGGCAGTCGACGCGTCGAACGCGAGGCGCGAGGCAGGCTCGCCGCGCAATTAGCGCGGACACCGAGCGAAAGGAGACAAAGCTCGAAAGCGGCGAGGGCTAATTCGGTTACGAACAATGGCCACGTGTTCGCGCGAACGTTGCTCGTTCCCGGGAATTAGTCTCGCTCCCCGCGGTTTCTGAATATTCCTGGAAAAAGGGACGTTCCCGGCGTGCTAATTGTCCCGGCCGATCGTTACCGTATTCCCGTTTCGCGGAGGCGCTCTTTACGAGAGGTTTAACGAGGCCCGGCTAAACTGGTTCGCGCGCCGCGGCTCGAACAGAGTCGCCCCGGGACGCTCCCGCCGTTTGTTCGTCGGCCGCAAACCGGCATTTTTGCATGATAATGCGCCGCCACGGTGTTCCGGAGGAGTGTGGAGTCGAGGATCTGGTTCCGGACGGGGAGCGGAGGCTACGGGCAGCGCGCGTTCGATACCATCGCAACGCGCAATCCTCGTGAAATCGTATTTATTTCGAGCACGACGGGCTCCGTCGCCGATTCCCGTGTGATCGTTATCGATTAACGTACAAAAAGTTCGATGCAAAAATACTCAAACGCCTTCCGCGCCGAGACACGAATAATGGCACTTTTTCTCAGTCGCGCGAAGGTTCAATTTTTTTTGTTTACTTTTCTCTCGTCCTTCCGTCACGGAAGAAGCCGTGCGTCTTATGTACAACAAAAATATATACACTGTACAGATCACTTACGCTAATAGAATAAATAATATCTTTCGCTGTTAGGTACTCGAATATGACTATCAATCGTATCACACATAGAGAAAACACTTGGGTGCGTGTTCCGGCGGAGACTCGCGTCTCCCGACCGGAATATCCATCTGCTAGCTCCATCCTCTCTTCCGTCCGTTCGAGGGAACCGATCGTCCGAGTCGATGAAAGTTTCATCTACATCGTCCTCTCGAGAATCTGCTCGCGTTAAATCGAACCGCTGCCATCTCAATAGGCCAGCTCGGCCCCCCAAGGCCTGTACGGTTTGCCGTGCTGCTGCTGAGGATACTGTCCAGGGTACTGGCTCCACCCGAGCGCTCCGCCGCCCAAAAGGGGCGGCATGCTGCCAGCTCCAGCCGGCATCCCCGCGGAAACGGTGCTGGCCGGCTCGTAGCTGCTCGTCGACGACGTGGACGTCAGGGACGTCGGCGGGGGAACGGTGGAGGCCACGGGGCCGTGGCCGGGGCCCGGGCCCGGTGCGTGCTCCCGGTGGAAGCTCTGCAGGTGAGAGAGCAGTCGCAATCTCAGGGGATCCCTCTCGTCGAGACCCTCCATGGTGACGAGGTACCGGCCCACTTCTGCGGCGCACTCGCCCCATCCGACGGCGTGGTAGTCCATGGCGAGCTTCGTGCTGTCGTACCCCTCCGGTCCTGCAACGTCGAGGAACAGGGATTAATATTCGCGGAGTCGATCGCGAAACTGGTCTAAGGAGGAACGATCGAACAGCCGGCGGACCTGCCACCGGACAGCCGGCACGGCAGCCGGCACCGGCGCATTGTGACCGAGAAATGGGACAGGTAGCAGCGTGAGAACTGTTTAGATCCCCGTCGGGCCGGTGGACTGCATGCAAATGCGCGTATGCGCGTATGCGCGTATGCGCGTATGCGCGTTGGCTACTTAGACGAGCGGCCTTCCTCGCGGAACGCTCGAACGCGATGGTTCGTCCGTTTCGTTGCGCGAGGGGTGTACGCTGGCTGAGATTTTCATTCTGTCGACGTTAATCCGTCGCCCCTTCCAAGTATTTCATTAGGTATATGGCACGGTGGAAAATCAAACTGAGTGCAAAGGGATAGAACTACCGAACGTAGTGGGATTAATATTTAATCCCTGTGAAACTTTTAACGATAGATAAGAACATCGAAAGCAATCGTTTCCACTGGTACGGTAACCCCTTGCCGTACAATGACGAGTGAGACTCGCGATGAAGATTTCCAAACTAATTTAAAAGAATCAATGTTGAAAATTTTGTTATATTTCTTACAAATTGTCGATAGTAAAGTAAATAGTATGCCAAGGGGTTAACGATAGAATGGTAACGTTGTTCGACTGCGAACGATTGGGAACATAACGTAAACATCTTGGTAACAACGATAGAGTCGTGCGTGCTATAATTGTTTTTATTTACGCGATCTGTCGGCGATCGCGAAAGGAAAGGAGAGAAAAGAGATAAGAGGCGCGCGAGGGCTGATCCGCGCGAGATTATATGCAGAAACGTAGAAACATGGAACGGAACGGAACGGAACGGGAGTCGGTTTCCCACAGGGTTCGACATCTGTCCCAGCCGTGAGCAAGGGAGTCGACGGCTCGATCGCGAAGGGTGCCGCTCGGCGCGGGACACCCCACTCTACCTAGCCCGCCACCAATCGTGGGAACACCGCCTCGGAAGAGTCGTTGACTTCCTATACTTCCCACAGGATCTCCTTTTCGGCCTGCAGCACCTGCTCCTCCTGCGGGAACATCTCGACTAGCGGTACACCCGATTCTATTCGGGATCACCGGAGATTCCCGCGGTATTCTCTATTTACCGAGGATACTTTTGCCCCGCATCGCCGCGCTGGGAACGCGTCGCACAAAAACGTCGAATAGCTGGCGGAGCTTCCGTCGAATTCTTTCCATTCGAAGCTAACTATTGGTCCTCCGCTTTAATAAACGAACGCGATTCTCTTCGTTCGCCTAAAGTTACAGACCTAACGCGGACCGATTGCAGACTTTCCAGCGAACGAACGACGAGAAGAAACGGCAGAGCGAATCGCTGAATGCCGCAGGCAATTAAACGGGAAAACGAGGAAAGCGTGAAACGCGTACGAGTCGCGCTTAAAGAGAGACGCGCGTGCGACAGATGGTTTTTCGGTTGCAGAGGTTCGCGCGACGTCCCACGGTCAACAGGTGTCTTCCGGTTGCGGAGAGGGTAGTCGTCGACGACCGTCGAGGAATTGTAACCATTCGAGACAGAGAACGGGTTGAATTCGACGCGATGAAACGTCAACAGGGATGTATCGAAGTTTAGGATTTTAAAGGAACGATGTGTGCACATTAAAATTCGCGTATATTATTATTTGCTCTCTCTTTCATGCATACCTCGCATTCGCGCAATCGCTTGCCGTTTTAACAACGACTGGAAAGGCCTGCCATTTTTCGATTCGTCAGCGATCCCTACTCATTAGGAATTGGTTTCCACCGGTTCAAAGATTCGAGCTTAGGATCTTACCTTTGTTCCGAAGCGTTCGTAGATGCTCGACGGTCAGCTGCAGGATTTCCGCCTTCTCCAGTTTGCCGCTGTGCGGGTCTCTCGCCGCTGCGGGTACCAATCTCCGCAGCTCGCCGAGGGACGCGTTTATCCTGTCGCGACGTTTCTTCTCGATCATCCCCCGCCTGCGCTTCCGCGACGCGTGCTGACAGGAATCGCCTCCGGGCGAGTTGCAACTGTATCGAAAAACAAAGGACGGTGGGGGTGAGAGTAGTCGCAGACGGATCCGCCGGTGATATTTCAAATATTCGTAGGACGCTCCTTTCGTCTCGATCTTTCTCCCCCGTCGACGCTCTCCTCGCGGTTCGCCGCGCGAGCGTTCTCACCCCGAGCCGACCGATTCGATGGAAAGGGACACGGCGAGGTTGAAAAGCTCGGGGAACAATGACGTTTTAATTATCGCGCGATTGTGCGAGCCCCGGCATATGTTGCCAAACTTCCGCGCCCGTGTGTCAACTTTGCAATCGGATACTCGAAAGACGAAACGCGTCGCACGTGCGACTCGAATACAGTGGAACCTCGATTAACCGCTTCGCCGACTCTACGTTTCTTTCATCGAGGTTCCACCGTATTGCTCATCATCTCTGCTCGAAACGCGTACTTACGGTTCCTTGCCGCTCTCTTCCGAGAAGACGTCGTCGCAGTCGGAGTCGCTCATGGCTCTCTTCAAGTTCCTCTGCTGATGACTTTGCCCTTGCTGCGACGACTGCTGCTGCTGCTGCTGTTGCTGCTGCTGTTGCTGTTGTTGAGGTTGTTCCTGACTCCTCATATCCGCGACGTCGATCTTCAGATCGGTGAACTCGTGTCCCGGCCTGATCTCCGGAGCAATGTCCGGCCTCATGCCCGTCATCTCTTGATGCCTGATGTCCTGGTGCCTCTGCATCTCGGCTCTGTGCAAGTCCTGGTGCCTCTGCATCTCAGGGTGCCTGAGATCCGGCCTGAGCGCGTCGTGCCTCGCGACTTCTTGCACCCTGGGGTCCGGGCCGGTGGGATGTCGGAGATCGTGGGGCGGCCGCATGTCGTGGTGATGACGCATGTCGGGATGCTGCGGCTGGTAAGACGGATGCGGCGGGGGCGGGTAGCCCCAGTGATGACCGGAAGGAGCTCCGGGCAGGCTCGGAATGTGACCGGAACCAACGGGACCGGAAGCGATCTCCGAGGACAGCAACGTGCTGTTCTCGTCCGAGCGGGCTACCACTACTCTCCACATTGTCCTCGGCAAGTTCCACGATCTTCACGAAATGTTCACGGTAAAAGTATCCTCCGCCGATGGACGTCGAGTCGATTGTCTCGTTCGCACTCGTTCAATTAGAGATAGGCAGCACGACACAGACGACGGATCTTCCACGAAACGTCATCGCAACTACGCGGACCGCGGAGACCACCGCAGAGATTCGAAGGTAACGTCGCACCGTTGACGGAGAGAGAGGCGATCGTCCATCGATCTCGTCGGATAAGATTGCGGTATCTGCTCGGTCACTTGTCACCGGAGGAGGAAGTCCGAATCGAGTTCACACGTGTCGGCGCGTTCCGGAGGACGTTCGCGGTCGCTGCTGGCTGGCTGCTGCAAGATGCACTCGCGTGCGTGTGCACTGGTCGCGTGGCGGCCGACGTGTGTCGTGTGCGGGAGGACCGGGGACGACACACGACCGCGTGCCCCGTTTCGTGCCCGAACCCGGACACCGGAGTGGGGAGAGTAGGTGCGCGGCCGGCGCGCACTGGTGGGGGGCAACTTCTCTCTTCCGCTCCTCGATCCAAGGTGAAAAGCAACCACTCTGCCGAACCCCTGTTTGCCTCGCCCCGACTGAGCAAACGGGACGAAACGGGACGAAACGGGACGAAACGGGGGGCAGGGGGTGACCGAAGGGGCCGATTATCGTGGGAACGCGTTCGCGGACCTCGCCTCTTCCCTCCGGCGTTCCCTCCGCCCGATTTCACGGATTTCCTTCGTCTTCGACCTGCAGATCGATCGTCCGAGTCGACTAGTACCGTTGCTCCTCAGAAACTTCGTTTCTTCCCCCTAGGATCCCGACAAGATGAATAAAACAATAGAGATTCAGGACACAAGCTGAATTCACATGGACAATTGAATGCCAAAATTTTTACGGACGTTTTCGTGAAAGGAATACTTTCGACAGAGACGTGGTCGCGAATCATTAACTTCGCGAGCAGATATAAAATAGAAATCGAAACTCCCCGTCCCACCCACGTTATCCCTCGATCCCGTAAATTGATACGCGCGCCACCATGAAATCACTTCGCCGCCACCCTCGATCCCCCCTACGGCGCCGATTCACGCGGTCGCTAAGGGTGGACGTCCCTAAAGGAGCGAGAGAGGAAGAGAGAAAGCGTGGCGTGGAGAGAGGGGCTGCGAGCGCGATAAAGTTCACACAGGAATCGTACGTAGCACGCGCTCGCACGATTATCGTCACCCCGCGCCTGGGAACCGAGCTGACTAATCGTATCGTTAACTTTCCACCGCGGTCCCACCAGCCGTCCGTTTCCTACGATTCCTCGGTCGAATCGTCGGCCATCGAGCTGCGGCTCGATCGCGAGCGAAGTAGATAACGCGTCCAATAACGAGACAGATAACGCGTGGCGATCCTCGAGAGCGCGTGTCCGAGGCTTCTAGGGTGAACAGAGGAGGTCGCCGGATCGCGTGCCATTCTCGTTCGCCTTCGTCGCGGCCCGAACGCACCGCGTCACCCTTCGAGCGCGTTACGCACCTATTCTGTTCGCCTTCTTTCCACGCGCATCGTAGACCCTCGTTCCTTTGGATTCCCGTTGCACGCAGGGGGCCACGCTTTCCCACAGGTATTGCCCGCCTACTCGACTGGGCTGATCACCGTCTGAATAGCAACTTGCTATTCGTAGATGGGCGTAAGATAGGATTTTCTGCGCATAAAATTAAAGGGTGAAAACTTGGAGTAGTACTCCTTTTACTGAAATGCTACAAAAAGCTACAAAAAGAATGCCTCGAGAAGGGTATTGTTTAGACGGAGCAACCCCTGTCAGCGCGGCTCTCTATTTAGTGCACCCCGAGACTCGGGGGCGCCTTCCCTTAAAAAGCGATCGACGAAACGCAGACGACCAGCGTTCGACTTCCCCTTCGCTAAGATGGTCTCGCGTGCGATGACACGCAACCGATCAAAACTGCAAACACGCGTCGACCTCTTTCTCCGCGAATGCGCGAGGAATGTTATTTTCGGATCGCGAGATCGATGGAACTTCGCGCCTGCCGCCAACTCCCTACGCTTCTCGTCCAGGTTTCTCGCAAGGCGAACGTTCTAAGGACGTGAAATTGAGAAAAGAGTGAGTGGGGTACCCGAGTGAGTCACGCGTCCCGTGGCTCGGTCCCGCGGAACCGCGTCGATCGGAACAAAGTATCCGGTCTAGAGCTTCCGGCGGGCACGCGACTTCTGCACGTGAAGTCGCGTGCCGTGGATCGAGCCGCTCGCGTGTGAGCGCGTGCTCCGTTGATCCGACCTACGACACGAACGAAAGCGAGCGCGATTCCATTCGAAAACCGTTTGCCGATCGACGTTTCACTGATCTACATTCGGACTCTGGCTGCAGTGTCGTCGAGGAAGACCTGTTTCGTTCATTGAACCTGTTGGAATCCGAGCAGTTTCTTACGTAGAGTTACATACGCTTGGATTACGCGTAGGAAACGCGGAACCGGAGTGCAACGATTTATAGGATACCATGTTTTGTTCGTGTGTGTTCGCGTGTGTTTGTGTGTTGTTCGTTTAAAAAGATCGCATACACATTCAGGAACATTAATCTACGAGGAAAATAATTACTGTCGCCTCGCGATCCAGCAGGTCTCTCCGAGATCCTCTCTCGAGGCGCGTCCGTTCCGCAGAGTGTCCGTCATCTTGGAGATCCAGCGACCCGACGAACTCCATCGTTACCTAATATTTATTCATAATTTCAGCGGGATCGACGCGGGCGGGGTCGAGTGGATTTGTCCGGCCCATCTTCTGGACAAACAACGACCAGCAGGGAGAGAGCTCTCTCTGGCGGCCGTGCATACAGCATCCCCCGGTGCAAAGCAAACACGCATAAAATTACGCGCGCCGCGATTAGGCTCGCGCGAGAGCGGAACGTCTTTCCTGCGAAAACAAAAGTAGGCCTCGCCGGATAGGGGACGGAGCCGGCAATCGTGAATCGATTCCGAGAGCGCGCTGGTCACCGGTCACTCCCCCGATCGAACGCTTGACCAACGGCCCGACAGTTGGCACCGCGGCACAATCGACCGATAATTGGCAGATATTGTTCGGGACACTTGATTTCGGCGCGGCGCGCATATGCACGCGCGTCCGCGTGCCTCCTCGGAGCTTGCGTCCACCGCGGCGCTCCGCTTTACGGTTTGTTGCTCGCCACCGGGACAATCGGAAATATGAATTTATCGGCGATCACGTTACGGGGACTCGGTGTGGTCACCGGCGATGTCGGTTGATCGGCCGTGATATGAATTTATCACCGATCCTGTTACACCGGTCACCGGTCGCCGTATTATGCGTTCGATTCTTGTTTGGGCTCGTAAATCTCTCGGCTCGCGGACAGTCGGTGCAGTCTGTTTAGGCTTCGCGTCTCGCGAATCGGTCTCTTGGACAACGGATTAGCTAAGGTACTCGAAATGAAAGATCTAGTCGCGAGACGGAAGGAGACTCACAAGTGACCGCCGTGATTCGAGAACTTCGGGAATCCGACGAGTCACGCTCGCAGATTCACGCACCATCTGTGCCGGCGCGGCCCTTTTCAATCAATCTACCAGCTAGCGCGACTGGATAAAAGCATTAGCTCTCCGGTTAACCGCCGGAGAAGTGCTCGAATTACAAGCTAATCGAACGAGACACGAGGCGATCGAGCGACTTCGTAACGCGAAATATCCGTGGTTCCCATCGGAACGATTTCCCGATTCCGCGGGAAGGCCGCGGTCACGCGAGGGTGGCCACTCGACGCAAAAAGCGCGTCGGCGACGCTTTAAACGGGCGCGCGGATGGGAATGCGTGCACCCTCGAATTACGTCCCCATTTGAAAATCAACCCCAATCGTCGCGGCGATTCGCCGCGGTTCCAGACGCCGGACAAGTGCCGTGCGAACGGTTGCGGAACCGCGCCGCAGTCGTATATTAAACAATTTTTTTCGGCGTGATTTTAAAAGGTGACAGCTGTCAGGCCGACTCGCCGGACCGGAACTGGGAGGCGGAAGCGTGCGTCTGTACGCGCGTGCGGCTCGCTGGGCCATTTCGACGGAGTCCACTGAAACGCGGTTCATTAACTGCACTCGGCTCTGTGTTTCGTGAACTTAACCCTTTGCGCTCGAGAGCTGACCCTTAGGCACCGCTTCAATCGATGTGGCAACGGTAGAAAGTCTTGTATATACAGTCGCGTTCAAACATAGTGCAATTATTATTACAATAGAAAACAAGTATTGTCTTTGTGAACGTCTTAGAACCCTTGAACATGTCGAATTACTTATTTCTAAAGAAATATAACGAATGAATGAAAGAATGAACGCCACTCTATAATATATTAATGGTTTCTAAGAATGTATAAATGTTAAATTTACATCCACGATTAACAATTTGATCGAATAATTCTTTGTGTCGCGCGATTATACATTTCGATGATGTTCGATTGACCACTCTCGTTAACCAGCCTTTCACCCGAAGGGACGATCCATCACAGGTTGAAATTTTACAATATCACCGAACATTCTGGGAATTAAGATACGCTTGATCGATGACTTTCCAATCGATGTCTCGTATTGTCTGATCCTGAGGGGCTGTCCCGCACCCCTTCGCCGATTACTTGTAACTGCGTTGCACCGTTAATTCGTATTCTGCCACTCATCCCCCGGGGATCTTCGGTATATTGGATTAAAGTTATCCAGCGAAATATTGTTGAGCAACAGTCGTTCGTGTCTTGTGTTCCTGTAAGGAAGGAAAAAGGTTGTTTCAATGAGTGAATTAATGAGGGTAGCGATATGTTAATGATGTAAGGCTTAATAGCGGTCAAAGGATCAATTGATATACAGGGGGTTGATTTTCGACGGAACACGATACGCTATAACCATCTAGCGGTCGTACTGTGAATTGAAATTTTCGCGCCTGACTGCATGCAACCAGCTTTTCTCGCGCGCTAATCTGATGCAACTGAAATTGCCTGTCGTAAGGGGCCACCGTTTAATTCGTGAAATAAACATTGCACGTTAGATTCTAACGTGCATTTTAATGCTTTTTACCTTTACATTCGAATCATTGATCGACGAAGTCTATTTGAAGACGTAATTAATTATAGAAAAATACTTGTTTAAGAATTGTATGAGTTAACCTATGAGGTCGCACCGGACGTTTCACGTGTTGCAACGACTACAGGTCGATCGCTAATGTCACGTGTTGAGCATGTTTATTTCGAAAATGTGTTGTGTGTAATAAAGCTTTAAACATCAAAAACGGTGGAATATTTTTCGAACATTTTGAGTATTCGTCGTCTATGGGTATATATTTTTGACTGGGGATAATTTAGACTATGAACGAGCTGTGTTTCAAATGTCGCATAACCTTAATGATTTTCCGAACATGAGAGTACAGTTTAGAAGTTAATATTAAAAGAAATAGAAGAATCTGAAGAAGAAATTAGAAATGGCAAATGAAACGGAAGAGAAGGTAAGTCATAAGACTCACCGGGAACGCAATGCCGGCCGTAAAGCTGCGAAGAAGAAAGCGAAAAATGAACACGTTCAAGAGCTGACGGATAAACAGAGGAATCCGAAGGCATTCACGTTTCATTCCGCGATTAAAGCTGAACGGCGATTCAGACGTAAACAGGATATAGAAACCAAGAAACAACACATACCGTTGGTGGATAGAACTCCTTTGGAGCCACCGCCAATTTTGGTTGCCATAGTTGGTCCCCCAAAGGTGGGAAAATCTTTGGTAATTCAATGTTTAATCAAGAGTTACGTGAAACAACCACTGACCAATATACTCGGTCCAGTTACCCTTGTTTCTGGTAAAAAGAGAAGAATTACTTTTATGGAATGTAACAATGACATCAACAGCATGATAGATATAGCTAAAGTAGCAGATTTGGTATTACTGCTGATAGATGGTTCATTTGGTTTTGAAATGGAAATATTCGAATTTCTGAATATATGTCAGGTTCATGGTATGCCTAGAATCATGGGAGTCTTGACCCATTTGGACTTACTAAAAAATGCAAAACAATTGAAAAGAACTAAGAAAATGTTGAAGCAAAGGTTTTGGACAGAGGTCTATGCTGGAGCAAAATTGTTTTACCTATCTGGTTTGGTTCATGGAGAGTATTTGCGAACAGAGGTCAAGAACTTAGCCAGATTTATATCTGTGATGAAGTTTAGGCCTTTAACTTGGCGTACCACGCATCCTTACATTCTGGCAGACAGAGTGGAAGACTTGACACCTCCAGAAACGATTAGACAAAACCCAAAAACTGATAGAACCATAAGCTTGTACGGGTATGTAAAATTTATGGTCTAACATGCACATAATCAGCTTATATTGTATCTAACATTGTTATGCCAATTTTTCCAGGTATGTAAGAGGAATTCCCCTGAACAAGGAAACCTCTGTACACATTCCCGGGTGCGGAGACCTGAAAATTAAAGATGTCAGCTTTCTGCCGGATCCCTGTCCTTTACCAGAGGAAATAAAAAAACGCGCATTAGTAGAGAAGGAACGTCTAATTTACGCACCGTTCTCCGGTGTTGGTGGAATAGTTTACGACAAGGATGCCGTCTACGTGGAGTTAGGCGGTAGTCACTCGCACAAAGAAGAAGACACAGGTCTAGTTGGAGCTCTGATGGACACTCAAGAAACTCTTGATCAAAAATTAGAGCACAGCGAGTTACAGCTGTTCAGCGACGCCGCTCCGATTAAGTCCGGCGACGTAAAAGAGGCTTTTGGCGATTACATGGGTGAAACCGTGATCGACAATGGCCGAGTCAGAAGAAAAGTCTTGTTCCCTGATTCGGGGGATAACGAGGATGACGACGGAGACGACGACGAAGAAGAAGCAGAAGTAAAGGAAGAAGACGAGAATGAATCCAGCAACGAAGACAAAGATGATATTAAAAATGAAGATGAAGAGGCACCAAATGGAAAGGGCGTAAAAAGAAGAAAGAGCAGCGAGTTAGGAATTAAAGGTAGAAAAAAGAAAAAGAGTTTACTGAATGATTCAGGCTCGGACGACGATGATATTGATACAACGGAACAAAAGTTTACGGATTTCACTAAACTTGCGCCTTTGGACGTATCGAATAATACTGAGGTTTACCATTCGATGAGCAAGGAGTCTGACATCAAAATCAAGAATAAGATTACAGAAGCGCTCAGTCTTCTAGATTCCCATTCAAGCAAGAAAAATAAAAGATCGAACAGCGACAGCGAGAGTTTCGATGAACTCAGCGATGAAGATTCACGTACTGGACTCGAGAGAGATGAAGGAGAAGACATGGACGAATCTTTACAGGAAGACACAGATGATGAAAATGAGGAAGAGGATAACGAAGCCGCGGAAGACGATGAAGACAATGAAGACGACGAGGATGTCGAAGACGAATTAAAATGGAAAACGAATTTAGCAGAGAAAGCTAAGAATGCTTTCGAGGACCGTCAGCGAGCTAACAAGAACTTAATGAAGCTGGTGTACGGGGTGGTCGATGCGAAAAAGCTCACGATAGAAAAGGAAGATGAGGGAAAGAAAGCCGAGAACGATGACAAAGAGATTGGCGGTATTTTCCGCGTGATTCAAGAGCAAGAAAAGCGGAAAGTCCAGGAGCGAACGCTGCAGAACGAGGAGGAGAGCGTATTCTTTCCAGGAGAGCCACGGGATTGGTTAGAAGAGGAGAATAAGTTGCTCGTAATCAACCGTTTTGTGACAGGAAAGTGGAAGGAATCGGAAGATGCGGAGGAGCTGTTAAAATTAGACGACTTGGATGACGAAGACGTGTACGGAGATTTCGAAGACCTGGAAACAGGGGAGAAACACGAAGCGGAAGCGCCGAAGGAACCAAATAAGGACGAAGTGGAGGAAAAGAAAAAGCTTATAGAGAAGAAGAAGAAATTGAAGGAGCAGTTCGACATGGAATACGACAACACCGACTCGAAGACGTATTACGACGAATTGAAGCTGGAGGTGGAACGACAGGCGAACCTGAACAGATCAGAGTTCGAGGGAGTCGAGGACGATGTTCGGGTTCAGTTGGAAGGTTATCGTCCAGGGATGTACGTCCGCGTCGAGTTCGATAATGTACCTTGCGAACTGATCACCAATTTAGACCCTACGTACCCGCTGGTTATTGGAGGACTTTTACATGGCGAGGAAAACATAGGATTCGTCCAGACAAGGATAAAGAAGCACCGATGGTACTCGAAGATTCTAAAAACTAAGGATCCCCTAATACTTTCCATTGGCTGGAGACGATTCCAAACTCTCCCAATTTTCTCCAAGCTGGAAGACAATATGAGGAGTAGAATGCTGAAGTACACGCCCGAACACGTTGCTTGTATGGCACATTTCTGGGGGCCTGTCACTCCGCAAAGCACGGGGGTTCTGGCTGTGCAAGATGTTGCGACCAGAGTGCCGGGATTCAGAATAGCGGCGACCGGTTCTATCGTTGAAATGGACAAGAGCACGCAAATTATGAAGAAGTTAAAGCTCACCGGTGTCCCCATGAAGATCTATAAGAAGACCGCGTTCATCAAGGACATGTTCAACAGTGCCCTCGAAGTGGCAAAGTTCGAGGGTGCCAAGATAAAAACTGTTTCCGGTATACGCGGTCAAATAAAAAAAGCTGTGTCGAAACCGGAGGGTTGTTTCCGTGCGACCTTCGAGGACAAAATACTTTTGAGCGACATCGTCTTTTGTCGCACTTGGTACAAAATCGACGTGCCAAAGTTTTATAACCCCGTCACCTCGCTTTTATTGCCACCCGATGAGAAAGGTCGCTGGCAGGGAATGAAAACAACTGGACAGCTCAAGAGGGAGAAGAATGTCCGCGTGCCAGCCAATACAGACTCTATGTACTTGGGCGTTGAGAGAGAACCAAAGGTGTTCAAGCCTTTGTCTATCCCTCGAAGCTTGCAGAAAGCACTCCCGTACAAAGATAAGCCAAAAATACACCCTGGAAAGCGCAAGGACAACAGGGTGGCGGTGATACGCGAGCCGAAGGAAGAGAAAGTAGCGAAGCTTATGCAAATGATCAAGACGAATTACGCGCACAAGCAAAAGAAATTGAGGCAAGATATGAGAAAGAGATTACAGGCTCACCAAGCTAAAATACTTGCAGAACAAGCAAGGAAACTGGACAGACAGAAGGAAATGAAGAAGCACGTGTTCCGGGAACTTAGTAAACTGGAAAAGAAGAAGAAACGTTAATACCGTGATATTTGATAGTTCTAATGTAACATATATTATATTTTCATACCGTTGGATGCGTAACAGAATTCTCAAAACTTCCGAGGACTCGGTTACGCATTGTTTCCCTGTACAGTACTCGTTGACTTGTTCTATCGCATATGTAAAATAAGCCACCCGATATTTAAGAAACATCGAAGCATCGTTATCAGAGTAACGAAACTTGTCAAAATATCGATTTTATTGCAAACATTTAGATAAGTTACAATATAATTATATATTATCAAAATATATTATTAGTCCGTACAAAATAATAACAATTTTATATGCAATGTTCTTACAGCATAGCTTGCGATCCACGCCATGACGCGATCGTATGGTGTCCTGTTGAATAATTGTCTCCACCCTGAAATAAATAGTGTAACTGTACAGTTAGTTCGTTTCGCATTCAAGTATCTCCTTTACCTGTGTTAGCATCAACAGTTCGTCTTGCGTATCCACAATCTTAACTGGGAACGGAGAACCCGGGACCAATACACCTGCCCAACGAACTTCAACTCTATAGTCGCCCGGTTCCGTGGGATCGTATCGGCAAAGTATTATGCGATCCTTTTGCGTTTCTCTCTGCATTTCCACTCTAAACGCCCCTTTTGGTCCACGGACTCGTACCGTAAGTTGGCCAGCGCCAGCACCGCGAGTGTCGCAAATGAAACGCGACTGGAATGTTGCTAGCACTCCGTGTTCGATTCCCGGCCCGTATACTCGCACCTGTGGTTAAGACAATTTGTTCGTGTTTCGTTTCATTGATTCAACTCGAACATTTCGCCTCGAGCCTTACCTTCGACGCATCTGGAGCACCGGAAACGCGTAACGTGAAAGGCGAACCTGGAACATGTTCTCCAGCATACTTGATCGTCAACGCGTGTCGCCCAGCCTCTTGAGGTTTCACATTTAATGTAAAAGTGGCGTCACCGTGGTCGTACAATTCACAGTAAGCCACTTTGTGTGGACCAACGCAATGTGCCGTTAATTCGCCTGGACATCGGAAAATATTCTCTTGAAATAGATAGATTGACGAGTGACAAATTTCTAGTTCAGAATACAAGCTACTTACCTGGTCCTGCTCGTCTTGTATCGATGAAGCTTCGGATCTCCTGACCGACTATGCCGTGTTTCAATCCGTCTCCGGAGCATATGACCCGAGATGCATCAGCCGCACTCGTTACGTTGATTTGCAAGGGACACCCTTTTAGTTGTCTCCCGTTCCACGATACAGTCATTAATAGAGGGTCGGGGGTCAGAGGTATATAACTTGCCCGATAAACAGAGTCCCCTGCGCGTTAAATCAAATGCATAATTCTAAGGAGAAAATATGACGCAACCAAGTTGAGCGACGATCGTTGAGACAGTGACAAGGTATTCACCTAAATGTTGCAGCATAACGTTCAGTTCGCTGGTCGGTGAGAAGAGCTGAACCTTCGGCGTTCCGTTACCGGCTTGAGAACCGTCTATCGTGAAACTAACTTCTTCGCCGCACTTCGCTGACGTCAGCCCCCTTCCTCTTAATAATACGCGACTCGTGTCCTGTATTGGTGGCTGGAAGTTAAGAATCAAAATAAACACTGACAACGAACGACTCGGGTTGTTTTGATCTCATACCTCTAAATCTTGAACTATAGCTAATTTTGGTGCCCCTGGAAATGGTACTCCGTTAAATAATATTTCTAAACGATGCTCCCCGCCGTTCAATTGCGGTGGAATAAGCTTCAGTCTATTGTTCGAAGTCATCTCGAAAGATAACATTTGATCCCCTATTTTCCCAGAAAGTTCACCCGGTCCGGCTTCGGCGGTGTCGAAACTAATTTTATTCGACGGATGTAATTTCAGGCGTCCAATGTCGTCGCACACAGCTGGCCAACCACCTTAATGTGGAAAATAAATTACCTCCAGGAATTAACACAATACCGCTTAAAAGTCATTACCCACCTATTACGCGAAGATTTCGTGTGTCGATGATTTTTGGGTGCCAAGGAGATCCAGGGAGCTGTTGTCCGGCAGAAACAACTCGAATGTCGAACACTCCGACTTCGGACGGAACGTAAGATACGTTCCACGTACCTGGATTAGCTCCTGCTTCGACGATCGCTTTCGAAACGCTATCTGGACCATCCACCTATACGATAAATACATGAATTGGTTCATTATTTTTAGTAACAGAAATAATTTAAGCGAGAACTGGCACGAGAACGATTTCGGAGTAGACACCTGAACTGCCGGAGGGCTTCTTGTACCAGTTACAATAAAATGCGCTGCCTTGTCCACGTGTCCGCTTAATAAACCTTCTCCTTTCGCGCGAGCCTGTCCCGCAGCATCAACTGTGCATAACAGTGGACTACCAGGTATGGGACATCCTCCTATGCGCAGGTATATTGGCAATAAATCTTATGGTCAGTAATTGTACCACTTTAAATTAACATGACCTTTTAACCTACCGTACGCAATGTTAATCATGTAAGTGCCAGGAACACTTGGTGAAAATTCCACCATTTCCGCACCATCGTTCAGAGGAGTAACCTGCAATGGAAGCTCTTGACCTAGAGGACTTGTCGCAGTCACGTCCAAATCTGCCATTCCAGCATCTGTCTTCATTACTGCAACGACGGATTGTTATAGAAACTATCGTCTTTCCCAGTTGTACGTGTACTGGTTTAATTGCGCTTACTCTTAAATGCAATGTGATCGTGTACGGACACGGTCATGGGACCTAATTCTTGCAATTTCACTTTGGAAACATCGAAAGCTTGACAGAAAAAGGGAGAACCTAAAACTGGCTTGGCACCTTGTAAAACGTCGATCTTGTACGTTCCTAATGAGTAAACAGAAATTGAATTTTTATAATAAAAAGATCATTGTTCTTAGTTTCGTTGGTACAAGCAACACACCAATATTGTTCGTAGTAAATTCAGCGAGTAAATTTCCATCGCGATGCTGATAACACCGAACTGGAACTGCATTGCCCTGTGGTCCACTGATGACAACATCGAATTCCTTTCCTGGACGACCTAATGTTTCGATTGTGAATGAAGTCACTTTACCAACGCACGATTGGTACAACCCCAATCCCGTTGCAGTCACTTCCCGTCCTCCGGTAGGGCTTCGAACTGTTACATCCAGTGGGCTTCCTGAGATGGAGACACGACAGATAAGAAAGAATGAACAAAGACGTGCAATGGGTCTACAGGTAGGTAATTATCGAACCTGCAATGTGAACTTCATTGTATTTCATGTGAACTCTGTGAGGAGCGGCTCGGGTTGGATGGAACACTATTTCGTAAAGACCATTTTCTGCTTCTCTGACTACGCTGTCAACGTCGGCACCTGCGGCGCGTACATTCACACACAATTTTCCTGGTCCAGCATCTTTTGACGCAACCACTACGAACACATTTTTCATTACTAAACGGATCGTACACTTTGTTCTGTAAAAAATACAGATATAGAGTATCGTACCTATGATAGTTCCAGGTCGATGGCAAACTACGTCTGACACTTCTTTGATCGTTACTTTCCCAGGATCGAAGGCCTGAAGCGTTTGAGAACTGATCATCTTGTGACCGTCACTGAAAATGACACTGTACGTTCCAACCTGTCGCGTTCGGACTTCGACTCGGTACAAATGGGACGATAATTTCGTTAATGTGCATGGAATAATTATACCGTCGGGACCTGTGCGAATATAAAATTATAATACCATAGAAGAAAGTACGTATAAAACGGAATACTATGACTACCCGAGAACTCACCTGTAACTTCAGCAGATACAGGGCCTTCCAACCCTGGCATTTCCAAGTCCATGTACGCTGTATTACCAACTCGAATCATGGATGGCCCATCCAACATAGTACTAACCACTGGACACTTAAATGGACTTCCTGATGTGCAACAATGGAAGCGTAAACTGTATTACACATATTAATTCATTCGCGACAAAGGGGGAAGCATCGAGTCACTAACCTGGTACATTGTCATCGTTGAAACTGATGTTTACGTAATGAGTACTAGGAGTTTGTGGAACGAATGTAACGTCGTACAGTCCACGAGCGCAAGCAACCACCTCAGCTTTAACGGTATTATTCTCGGTACTGACAACTAGCTCTAACGTTCCTTCGCCAGCTTCTGCGGCATCTACTGTAAATGTAGTTGCCTGGCCCAATAACGCTTCCGTAAGACCCGAAACATGAACCTGTATAATTTCAAATGTTCAATTAAGCTACGCCACCTAAGATTTCGGCTCTTTACGCGTCACACCTAACTGTGACATTTACCTTGGTGACATCGTAAACATTACAGGCAAACGGAGATCCTTTCACGTGCTCGGTGTCCACCAGCACACTGATGTTATGTCTGCCCACCTCCGTAGGTACGAAACTAATGTTGTATTTTCCATCGATAGGCTCTATCGTAATGGGAAGGGATATGCCTGACGGCGGAGTTACTATCACGTCGCAGTTCATCGAAGGAGCTTGAGGATCCACCGTGAAGGACATCAACTGTTTCACAGCTCCCATTTTTAAGTTATGACCAGCAATTATTGCTTGACCTGCACCAACTACTTTACAGCTGAACGGCGAGCCTATTGCAGAACATGTTGTTAGAATCACCGCGGAATGAAATTACATAAGATACAGCGCAATATTCGAAACTGTAATAGCTCGTTACTCGCCTGGAACTGGTTCCCCGTTAAAACGAACGCTAAGACTATGGACAGCAGCTTCCTGTGGCTTAAAATTAACCCTGAACTTCGCGTTTCCTTCGCTTTGTACATAATTAGGTACATTTTTGCCGTTCACGGCGACAATGATTTCGAGATTGCCAGCACCTGCTTGACTGGCGTTAACTGAAATTAAAGGCACGAGAGTAATTTTATTGTGCATACGTCGTGTCCGATGCAATAAAGCTGTCTGACTTACTGCTGAAGAAAACTGGTTTTCCGACAACACCGCTATTTATATCTGTCACCTTCACCTTGTCCGCGTTATAAGCTTTTACTAAAAATGGACTACCTTCCACGTGGGAACCGCTCAACTTCACCTCGACGCTATGGTCACCTGTAAGCGTTTCGTGTTTTATAATCTTATTTCGAGTAACGATATTCATCGCATCGATCCACGTACCGACATCTTTTGGAGTAAAGCCCGCCGTGTAACAGCCGTGCCCACTCTGTTTCACGTGAACCGGTAAACTCTCTCTAGTAGGCGAAAGAACTTCTACAGCAGGTGTCCCGAAAGAAGCATCCGCTTCTATTGTAAATGTCGTCAAGCGATTTACGGATACTTTCTCCAATCCTTCGGTTATTACTACCTTCGCCGTGTCGCTGACCTAAATCATCGTGGAAAATGTTTAGCTTTCATACTCGCGAGAGTGAAGAACGTGCGATGAACGGTAAATGCGTGGCAACCGGACCTGACAACTAAAAGGACTACCAGGTACATCTTCCCCGTTAAACCGCAAATCCACGGTGTGCACGATAGGCTCTCGAGGCGTGAAAGATATCGCGTACGTGTGCGGACCTTGAGCTTGAGCAGATGTAGGCACACGGCCACCATTTACAGTCACCTCTAAATTTCCTGGTCCTGCTTGACTAGTTTCAACTGTAAGAAAATATAGGAACTAGATGATATATATCCACCGGGTATATATATGTACGTGCATATTGAATGCGCCAGGAATAATGAAGTGTATACCTAAGAATGTTACAGGCATTCCAATGACACCGTGTTTAGCATCCTTCACTTTGATAGCAGTTACGTCATAGACTTTGCAGCTGAACGGGCTGCCGACCACAGGAACATTCCGATGGCTTACTGAAATTCTATGTTCCCCGACTACTCTTGGCGTAAACGCTACGCTGCACGTTGTGTCTTTGTTGTCAGTGACTTGAGCTGGTACGGCCTGTCCATTGGGTCCTAACAAGTCCGCCGGTTAGTTGTTTGATACAATTTAGATAAGCCAACTACTAGGGTGGATCAGAGGACACCAAAAGTTGACGATGGAAATTTACACGCATCCGACTTCTTTCTTTTGTTAAGATGTTCGAGATTACAAGCGACTCGGAATTTCGATCGGGAAAAGCAATGTATGAGTTGTTATGACAAAATGGTAGATGCGGATGCACGAGCGTAATTGTAAATTCGGTAAAACATTAGTTCGCTTCTATTAAATAAATTTGATTAATACTTGGTTAATACTATGTCTGTTACATGTTATTGAAAAATAAAATGAAGTTACATAAAAAGAAACAATTCAAGCTGAACGCTTAAAGAATTGAAAATTCAGAGAACGAAACCACTAACTAGAGATCGATTTATGCATTGCTGATCAGTATAACGGTATACTCGTTGTTAAACTAAGTAATAATAGTTGGCACATTGGATAGAAGCGCTACACTAGGTATCAAATCCGATATTTGCACCGTTGTGCCACGTTGCTTAACGATTAACGCGATTAACTAGCACTAGTAGTTGTACGGTATAGCACCATAAAAATGGCTGTCACGGGAAATATACAAGTACACGTAAACTTGGCTCAGCGATTAGAACGAAGATTGCAAAGCATTAGACACCGTTTCAATGTTTCTCTGCCAAAGTAAAACCAAAGCCCAAATAATACTCTGACATGGTAACCAACGATTAGAAATCACGGAAGAAGCATAAGAGACTATTTTGAGTATGCTTAGAAGAATCAAGTTAGAAAACCCACCACCAATTCATTTAAAGTACTCCGCTATTAAAGATAAAAATGAGATTAGTTTTGTTTGAGAAGTCTAGTAATGTCGTAGTCTGAAAGCTGGCCGACCTGCAACAGAGAGAGAATTGCTCTCAAGCTAGAGATTAAGAAGACATTCAAACACAGAGGCACAATTCCGTGCAAAGTTTCCACCATAATCGAGATCGGATAAAAGTTCAACAAAATTTCATACGATAGTGATACACGAAAACACATAGAAGGTGCTTGATACATACTTCGGTTGTCGGCGGAACCATTGTGCAATCATTTTAATTGTCTCGTTACACTGGGTTGGAGTATTAGATTCGAGGGAATGACAATCACAAAGTGTACGATGTCGATGTGAAAGTAGTGATTTTTGTGCGACAATAACGATAAAACTTTGATACACATGCGACGTATATATATGTATTATATATATATATATATATAATATAATATAATCGTGTATATACTAACAAGGAATTCAATTGTTCTGAATAATGAGAAGTAAATGCTGACTTACCTTCAACGTTCACTTCTAAATCTTCTAAGCTACCGGCGACGTTACTAACGGTAAGATAGCTTTGTCGTCCTAATCCAGCACTGCTTAATGCCTGCCCACTCACTGTTACGTGACTATCACCACCTACCCGAGTTACTATCGGGCAGCCCGGCACAGTTCGTTTATTGAAGGCTATATTAATTACATGTTCGCACGCTTCAAATGGTACAAAACTGACCGAAAATCGAGCATTTCCTTGTGGTGTCACTTGTGTGGGAATATTTTGATTACGAGCCGATATTGTAATTTCTAAATTTCCTTCGCCAGCTTGACTTGCATCGACTGTCGAAGAGAGAAAGGATTTTGGTAATGAAGCTTCGACGTTTCAACCTTATTTTCCACCTACTTTTTCACTTTTCGAACATACCAGTAAAATGTGTTGGCTGACCGACACTGCCTCTAGCTACGGGGCCGATTAATACTTTGTCGGCATTGAATGCCTTGGCCAAAAATGGTGTGCCATTTACAGGATGTCCATTATACTCGACGCTAATCGAGTGAACACCAACGTCTCTTGGAATAAATTCTGCAGTGAAACCACTTTTAATATCACCCGTTACTTTGACGGGTAATTCGTTATTCGGCCCTGAAAAATCCAGCTTCTTAATATCACGTAAACTGTGTAGTATCGCGAGATTTTATACCGATGGTGTTCTACATCTACTATCACCAACCTCTTACAGAAACAGCGAGTTCTGCGCTACCACTGCCGTCAACTCCCATGTGGAAGCTGGCAGGTTGATCGACTGGAATTAATTCCAGATGATTCAAGCTTAGCGTCACTCTACTCGTGTCGGATACGTTACAAATAAACGGGCATCCTTTCACTGCTTCTCCATTGAATTTTATGTCTATATAGTGTGATTTAGCAATTTCAGGAGTGAAAGAGACAAGACAACGTCCACCACCCACCACCTGAACATGATTAGGTACTTCTCCTTCGTTTATGGAGATTTCAAGCTGTCCTTCGCCAGCTGCACTAGCATCGACTAAAATTTAAAAGAGAATGAAGCATCGGTACACGTACTCACTGTTCTCCACCTGTAATTATTATGATTCCTTACCTCTAAATTGGCAGGCATGTCCTACCACAGCGCTGGGTACATCAGTAACTTGGATTAAACTGCTATTGTACACCTTGGCAACGAGAGGTCCTGCCGGTAGCTTTTGTCCCGCGATGCTTACTTCCACGAGATGACTGCCCACTTCTGTTGGAGTAAATTCAACACGAAATTCTCCAGGACGTCCAGGTTCTTCTTCTATCCTTGCCGGCAAATGCCTTTTAGAAGGTGCTGCAACAGATATTACACATCAAAATAAAACATCTGTGACTGTAACTATTATTTTAGTTATACAATATCACGGTATGTACTTACTGATTATTTGGACGTCAATCTCATTGCTATTAAAGCCAAGAGCGGACAGTTCGAATAATGCAGGACTACCAGCAGGAACCAATCTTATAGAGTCCCCGATCACTGACATTTTTGGGGCTGGCATGATGCCCACTCGCCACGGTGATCCTGTAGACACATAATTTTATACAATATTGCAACTGTATACACACTTACGCAATAAAATTTCAAGAAATTTATTCTACAATTTGGGTCATTACTATTTAATACCCTTGCTCATGAAAATGCAACACCAACACACTATGTACATGATATTCAATTACGAATAATGAATAATTATTTATTGGTTCGATACGAAACGTTCACATTTTCCGAACTTATTAAGTAACCTGTCTATACGAAATCGCGCTTTGAATCAAATTCTCATTTCCCGGAAGTGCAACGTGACTCCAATCAGATGTCTCCTAACCTTCATATATTCGGCACGAAGGCACACGCGCAGACTACAGAGAGGAAAAAATATCTTCTGGAAGTGTCGCGGGAAAATGTACCAAAACATTTCCAGAAATACAACGGGGAAAACTTTGGTCGTTCGAGCATGCGAAAAAAAGATCAAATTACCTCGACCGCCTTTAATGTCTAGATTGAGAAACCTAAAAGAACGCTGAAAATCTTAAACGAAAAAAAAAGGAAAGAAACGTAGAATAAATTAATGAGACGAAGGGCAAACTGGATACTTTAGAGAGACACTGGGAAACACGAAAACTGAACAGGTATTTTAACAGTAGCGTAGCTTCTTCACGAGTTACACTTCGATCACGGCCATAAGTATAAGAACCAGTATCAAGTTTTCACAGTGGCACGCAAACTGATTCAACATTGATCATTCGACGCTGTTCGATAAACGTCGATCGCGAACAATCCTGTCGTAGATCCATCCTGAGTATACGATTCCCGAAACGCACGAGCCGCGAAATACCGTCGAACACTGGAAAGAGCCCGAACGATTCGTTAAACCCGCCAGATAATTGCAGCTTCGATTTCTCGGCGAGGAAACGTCAGCAGATCGCGATTCACGACAGAGACTCGAACGAGTCGAGCGACGGGACGAGTGTGGTTGCCACTGGATTGCCGCTCAGGCCCAAAACCAGGGCCGTGCATTTCTTGGTGTACGCAAACACAGTTTCATTTTTAGTCTATCAACGTCGCGCGTTTATCGAGCGTGAAACAACAAATCTAATTAAAACGTCCATCTCTTCTTGTAATTAACCAATCGTTCAAACGAGTTATAGAATTTTCATTTTCACGATTCTAAAAGCAGAGAGTTTTATTCTTTTAACACCGAAATTTTACAACTGTACCCTCGTTGCATTATTTCCATCAATCACGTAATTACGTTTCGGAAAAATTAATCAGGTACTTCAAATCTAATTAACTATATAGATCCCGAGACGATCATGGTAAAAATGCGTGCCCACGTTATTCTTTATCTCTGTAATTCAGTAGGTCGAAGCATAAACAATTTCAATTCCTATGTTAATCAGTCCGCGTTACAGGAAATATCGAAGGCGATATTCAGTCTCGCCGTTAGTACGTTTCCGACGTCGGTTCGTGCCGTGTGGCAAGTAAATAAATAATTCGATCAACGTTCCACCGAGAAGATCCAGCGCAGGGTGTCGAGATGAACTTACAGAAGTCAACGCCGGTGAAAAGCGAGGAGATCGGTTCATCTTTGAGTCCGCGCCGCAGGTAAATCGGGAAAGTTTGCCAGAGGATCGACGTTAGAGCGGGGCTTGGAAGGTAAACGATACGACTATGCTCTCCCATTCGTTTCTTGCTCGTTCGACCAGCTACAGTCTACACCTATACGTTTACAGGATACCTGATCTGCGTATTTCGATACCTTAAGGTCGGTCGGCCCCGCAAATAGAAACCTCGCCGTTTGCATTCGACGCGGATCTACTTTTCGAGGTAGCCGAACGAAGAAGCGGTCGTCGTGTTCGCCGGGTAATTTCTATCCAACGACAGGTACCGCGGGTACGCGGCGGGTGCCTTTGTGCACGGGCACGAGCACCGGGACGAAAAGTGCAATTCTCCATGCATCGCGTTTCCACTTAACGATCAAGTTTCAAACGCGAAACGAATCGGTCGAGACGGAAAGCCAGCCGCGATGGGACGGACGCACTGTTTTAGAAAATACGAGAAACGCCTGATCCGGATCGCCTGCGGTCGAGCCCCGCCGACTCTTCCGATTTCTTCGGGCAGACCTCGGCCGAGCGATCTACGTAAACATTCGGCTGTTTATTTACGAAGTCTCGGTCGGAGCGCTCGTCGTAACGCGAGAGTAATTGATGCCAATTAAGAGAACGAGTCGGCGGCGCGAGCCGCGCTCCCCCGGCACCGGGCAGCTCCTACGATCCGCGATTAGATTCCGTAATCGCACGAATTACGAAAGTAATGATGCGCCCCGCGCGTTTCGCAACGCGTCGCGCCTTTTCGTGGATTCCGTTCGGCGAACGCGACCGACGAACGGTTCGCGGAATCGCGTAAACAGCGCGTAGAACGCCGAGTGACGTCGGGGCTCGCGAGAGGAACGATTCTACCTATTTCGATCGTCGCTTCGCGCGATATTTCCGTCGCACAACGATCCGCTGTTCGACGATCAAAGAAAGCCTGCGCGCCGCGGCATTTGCGTGGTCGCGGACGCATCGCCGACGCATTTTTACGGGTTCGAACAACGAGACGACGGCTTCTACGGATTCCCTCGCAGGCTATCGACGCGTCGACGGTTTTTCCCCCTGTTCCGAATCGCTTTGCGCCACATTCGTAACGAGCGGAGTTACCTCGAAGAGACTGTAAGCGGCTCGGATTCGGCTCGACTCGCGAGTCGCTGCATTCCCCGACATAACGGGTCGCAGCGGAAGGTAACAACTCGTTCTAAAATTTCCGAAAAGCTCCGCGTTATCGGACGCGGTCGTCTTCGACCTCCCTTTTCGCGCGAGACGCGCCTCGATGCTGCCCGACGAAGCCGCTTATCGTGCCGCTGCATCTCGCCTACCGCGCGGCTGACTTCTTACCGGAGAGGGACGATAACGATAGAAACACTGGCCGACTTCCATCAATTTCAAGCGAGTCGCGCAGCAGCGCGAACAAATCGAAATCAATTGAATCGAACGCGCGCAATCGTCTACGCAGCTGCACGCGAGCTCCCCTTTATTGGCAACAATTGCCGATATCGCACACCACCTGGTGCACCTTGACTCCGAGTTGACGGCGTTCGTCGCACGGTACATTCCATTGTCCCTAGAAAAATCGAGGTTCGCTCGCTTCGATGTAGGAAACCGGAGGTTCGAAGGTAATCGTACACGTCCGTGCGACCTTATCCTCTTGGTCTAAATCGTGCACGCGTCGCGGAAGGAATCATTGAAATTCGATGAACGTAAAAGTAGCGCAGGAACGGTAGGCAGCATCGTCGCGGCGGGAGGACGAGCGTCATCGCTGTTGCAGCCTCGCGGCGTTCAAGTCACCGAAAGCGGCCGAGTTACGTAAGAGCGCGATAAGCGTTATTTTTCGCTCTGCGGCCAGATGCCGGTTTATTACTCGGCGTTCCTGCAATTAGCGGAGTAATCGGCGCACTTTCATAGTCGACGCGTGCTCTTATCGAGCGTTACGGCGGGTCCCTCCGTGCGGACGGTCGTTACGTTCAAACAGTCCGAAAGCGGAAAGTATCCTTGGCACGAGGACGAAGCGAGTAGAATAGAGAAATTGCCGATAACGCGTTTGGCACGATAAAGCGCGCGCATTCCGCGCGTCTCGTTTCTCTATAGGGTGACTCGCGAATGGAACGCCGTCGTTCCCCTTCGAAAAAGACGATCCCGCGGTTGCAAAGTGCGGAATAGACGCCGCTGACGCGGTCGGAAGCTCGGGAATCGCTCCGAAAATTAGCGGCACGTCGACGCGAGCGATTACGTTTACATCTACGTAGGCAGAGAGACCACCGACTCTATTCCCCGTCCGTAACCAAATACGTCTGCGAGCATATAACGGCTTTAACGTCGTGACCACACCCACGGTCTCCGCGATACTCCTTTTCGGTTGGTAATGTACGCGAGCGTTAGAGAGATAGATACTACGCGCGGCCGTTAAATGCCGCTAGATGAAAGCGTTGACGCGTTCCGACGTGGCGGACCGTACGCACCGCAAGCGGAACACTCTGGACTCGATTCAGAAATTCGGAGGAAAGTGTACGCGGCCAGTTCCGGCGAGCGTGGGCACCGAGTTCATTGTCACGGAACCGTAAATACACGAGGCGATGCGGCGCGTCGCGGCCGCAACTTCCGGAGGTGTCGACGTGCCGCCGGTTTTTCGACTATTCGCTCCTATCGCGAGCTTTCCGAGCTCTCCGTGCTTTCGTCGCGGCTTGGCCGAGGATTATATTCGATCGGTGATTGATTAAAAAATGATTTAAATCAGAGAATGAGCAAGTATTCGTATCGTATCAGAAATGAAAATCAATTTCTGATTCGCACTTGTATCTGCCAAACGCATTCGCTCGTGTCCTGAATCATCGGTGTCGATATAAATGCGTCAGACGTCGCGTCGAGAGTCCACGATCGACGGAGAATTGCGTCGTGGCTCGACGAACGCGCGTCGCGACTCGCGAGCCGCGATTCTAGCCGTAGAATTTCCGGCTTTCCACGATCCGCGACGTTGGAAAATATCATTGGGTCGCGAGGATCGAGAGGCGGTTCACGGATTCGCGGCGTATCGGTGAACAACACCGATCGGGCAAGAATTCCTCACGAACCGACCTTGACCACCATTGTCGGCGTAGCTCGGGTTAAAGCAGGAAATACGCGCGTACACGAGCTGTATCTGGCTGGAAGAGAGATCGTAACGGAATTCGAAGCATTCTGATGCTAATACTCGCGGTGATTTAGAAGCGGAATGGGGTCCCGACCAACGTCTTTACGGTATTGCAGGCCACGTGCAGCGCGTGGTCACGATTGCAGAATGCGCTCCTCTACAAGGCATCCGAATATTCTAATGTTGTTCGCGCGTCAACGCCTAGCATAACGCGAATCCGATTACATGCTGCCGTATTGAAAACCGATCGCTGACTTTTCGTAACGAACCGTCGCACGGTGCGACAGCCTGTGGACAAATCCACGAAATTCCTATCGAAAGACAACGACCCCTCGAAACTTCGCGTAGGATTTTTCGTCGTCGTTTTATCGAGCTTTGAGCGAAAAGTGTGCCATCGGCATTCTTGTGGATTCGCGTAGCTCGCTTCCGTAGGAAAGATTCGCTCGTTGATTTGTCTATGTGCGCGAGCAACGATTACTTGTACGGAAAACTGCATCGTTGAATCGGGGAAAGAAAAGGGTCGAAACGTTCGCAGGCGCCGAGTACACGTGGCGAATGCCCGGGCGATCCGTTCGTGCGAAATCGCACGGCAAAAACGCACGGCAAAAACGCACGGCAAAAACGCACGGTGGAAGAATCGCTGGGACTGTGTGCCCGCGTGCAGCGCGGCTCGTTAAGTGAACGAAAGGAAAAAATTCAGGAACGCGAAGAAAACGATGACGTCGTATATGTGTCAGTGGAACATCACGTGGATGCGTGAAATCGCAAGTCAACGACCCGACCAATGACCTGTTGACTCGAAGACGCGCCGGTGCTTCGGTTCGCGGTGAAACTCCGGGTACACGCGCCGGGGAATTAGTGCGATTTTCCGGTAAATCGCGCGTTCGTTAGCGAAATTTCGCACGTTCTTAAATAGAGTTACGCGAGGTGGAGTCTTCGGAACGCTGCGAAACTTTTTAAGCGAACGGTCGCTACAATGGCTACGTTCGTTGGTACCGAATATTAAAATGTTTTCGTTGAAACGAAAAAATGACAAATTAATGTGTAATTAAGAAGCTTTGACAAACGCGAGGAAAACTACAGCGCGACCGATTGTGCTTACCAAGATGGAATGTACGAGTGAAATTGATATTCCAGTGAATATACTAGGCTGTTCGAGGCGGTATCATCGCGAATAACTAAGTTAATCGAGCGATGCAGTACGGAACAGGCGAATAACTTTCACCAGGAAATTTCTGTCGTAGTTGATGATAATACGCTATCTCGATTCGAAAGGAAAGTCGGCGGACGAGCATAAAGCGAGCATTGTTGCTCATAGAGCGGCGATATTATCGTTCAATTTCTCGTGTACCGCCGGCGAACGTTTCGCGAAATGCAAATGTTCGAGAGAGAGAAGCAAAGGAAAGGCAGGGCACTCACCGGGGACGACTTCTCCGTTGAACGTCATCTCCACCAGGTGTACAACAGCTTCGTGAGGCACGAACGACGCCAAAAATCGTTGGCTGCCTAACGCTCGGACGAAACTAGTCACGTGGCCGCCGTTTACGAGGATCTCCAGGTTTCCGGATCCAGCCTTGGATCCGTCGACTGTAACACAATGCGACAGGTGTTTCTCAGGTTTGCCCGTTCACGCCGAGATATTCGTCCGTTCGTTAAAGCATTCCTTCATACGTACTTTCAAATTCAACGGGTTGGTTGACGACGCCATTCGGAATGTTCCCAATTTGGATAGCTCGCGCGTTGTACGCCTGCGATCTGAAATCCCACGGAACGGTTGCATTTCGATCGTGAACGATTCAAGTTTCCGCCGATACTGGTTCTCAATCGCTTACGAACCTGAATGGAGATCCTTGAACGTGCTGGCCATTCACCGATACTTGGATCGTGTGCTCGCCGACCTCTTCGGCGGTTACGACGTAAATCAAACCGCGAAGGGTGGACTTTTGGACGGGGATTATCTTCCCGCTCGGACCTGAAATTCAATGGCGCCGAATCAGTGAGCGGACAAGCCGTGGCTCGCGTCGTTTCGACGTGGTGCCGACGCGTGAACCTACCGGAAACGGTGACGACAACTTTAGTCGGGTCTATACTCGGATCAATGGCGAAGGAAGTCGGTCTGTGAATCGGTAGCATCTCGAGAGCACTTCCTGTCACGAGCGCGGGACTCTTGCTCTGCGCGATCGTGCTGCCGGGCACTCCGTTGTTCAGGTACCGCTCGTGCGCGTTGTCCGTGGTGTCCACGCTTTTGTAATGGTTATTGTTCTTATTCTTCAGGATACCGTGGGTCTGCGTCCGCGAGTTGTAGTTGTCGGTGTTGAATTTCTGCGACGAGGAGTAGTCGGCGCTGGACTGCTTCTGGGACGACGCGAAGTTCGAATAGCTGCTGCTGTGAGTGTGCGACGTCGCGTTCCTCGAGCCGTGGCTCTGAGTATTTTTGTAATTGTTGTTCAAGTAACCGTGGTTGTTCGCGGACTCGGCCGTGGGCGAGTTGCTGGTCAGGTTGGTCAGGTTCGTGAGATTCGCGAGGGACTCCAAGCTGCCGTAGGACAGCAGTGACTTGGTTTTCTCGATAGCGTCCCAGGAGTCTCGTCTGGAGGTTCCGCCGACCATCGACGATACTCTGACGTTGCTGCTCGTGTCGATCGCTCCGTTGTTCTCCATGGAACCCCTCCTGTTGAAGGTGCCGTCTCTGTCGATGCTTCTCGGGCTGAAGCTTCTGTTGACCGGACTCTGGGTCGCGCTGCGATACGCCATCGGGCTGCGATTCGGCGACCGAGATCTCTTCAGAGAGCCGGAATTATAAATGTCTCGAGACTCCTTGATGATCGGGGAGTACCTCGAGCCATGAACGGTCGGATTCGCATTCGGATTCGGATTCGGATTCGGATTCGGATTCGGATTCGGATTCGGATTCGGGCTTGTATTCGGATTCGGAGACCGAGATCTGCTCGCTGTATTCGTCGCGTACACCGTTTCCTTTGATTCTTTCATCAGGCTGGGACTCTGCACGGTGGGAGATCTGGACTGACTGTACGTGCTGCTGGAATAAATCTCCTTCGTCTCCTTGATCATGGAGGGGCTGTGCAGATTCCGCGAAACCGGGCTGTGACTATGACTCGGGGATCGGGTGCGATCGAACGACGTCGACGCGTGATGGTACGTCGAGCTCGAGTTCTCCACCGAATAGTTGCTCGTCGATGTCTTGTAAGCGGAGGTGGTCTGACGTGCCGGAGAATAGTCGCGGACGTGTTGAGTGGGACTGGGAGACTTGTACGCGGACGAGGAATAGGTTTTCTGCACGGGGCTGGACCGATCCGTCCCAACGGACACGTTCAAACCGTTCATTCGTCTCTCCAGCGAGGACAGTTTCGACCTTTCCAGGCTAGACGTTGATTCCTTCGATCTTCTGGATCCTCTCTGCGTTCCCACTCGAATGGAGAACGGAGAACCTCGAACGTCGGAGCCGTTGAAGTAGACGTAGACTCTGTACTTCCCGGAATCGGACGGGACGAACGACACGCGATATCTCATGTGTCCGTAGTCTTCCATTCTGAACGGCACGGATTGCTTGTCGTGAACCAAGTCGACGATCACGTCGCCGAGGCCACCGGTGCCCGTCGCATCGACGATGAACGAGAACGGCTGCCCGGGCGTGGCGCCCTCCGTGTCGATTAGCTGGAAACGAGTCTCGGATAGAGCACGCGTTCAACGGAGAAGACGGGAAACCTCGTAAAATCACCTTTATCCCGTTCGGGTCGAATACGAAGCAAGTGAACGGTCCGCCTTGAATGTGATTTCCTTTGTGAGTGATCGCGATACTCCACTCCCCCGTCTCGTCCGGTTGAAAGGTCGCGGTATGCACTCCGTCGTTCTCTTTCACCGGGCAGGACAACGATCTGCCAGTCGGAGACCACGCGGTCACGTCGATACCGTCATGACTAGTACCTGGAAGATCGAACGGTTACGCGTGACGGCGAGCAATTCCGGAGTCCGCGTCCAACCCGGACCAACGATTCGTCGTTTCGTTTACCGTAACTGTTGACTAGAACTTCAACGATTGACCCGATAGCGCACGGATCCATACCGGACGCTTTGATTTTGGTCAAGGCAGGTAGAACTCGAAAATAATACGGACAGCCGTCCACCAGCTCGCTGTCGTTGTATACCATCAACTGAAACAGAGAGCCGATGAGAATGATGCGGAGAACAAGCCTGGAGCATTCGGATTTGCCGCGTCGCGCGTCACACCTTGTGCATTCCAATTTCCGTTGGTACAAAGGTTCCCTTCCCGTGAACTCCGTTCCACGCGAGCCTACATTCGACTCGTCCGCTCGGGCCGACCACTTCGCCGCGAACCTCCCTCGTGTTCACTTCTTTGGTAAGCATCTCCAGCTTGAAATGCGCCTGAAAGTTACGAGAGAATCGTCAAGAGGTAACCGGGAGAGGTGGTTACTCGTCGAGGGTTTCGCGGTCAGCGTCGACGAGCGAATCCTCGAAAGAAGAACAATCATCGGGCTAACCGGTTGTTGCACTCTGGCGGAAGTGCTGTCCACATGGACGACTATTTGTTTGCTGGCTTGAGGGCGAGGCTTCACCCACTGAAAGTATGCGGCGTACGCCATCACGCCTAAATGTTCCACGTTCTGATCTGCCATGTCTTTCGCCTTGAGAATAGGCTCCACGCCTAGTTTCTTGCCACCGTCGATACCTTCGGGAAAATATGACGTTAAGCGCGTTACATCATCCGCGACGAAACTGCCGGCTGCAACTGGTTTCTCTTTAAATGGAACTGGCGTTCCCCTCGTTTACCCATCTGTATGTTGTGCTCCCATGCGACGGGGTCGGTGTCGATTTTCTCGTAAGGAGGAGCCGGTCCGCCCAAATTCCTCACGATGTTGCAGAGAACTCTTCCGTCGTTCCAGTCGGTCTGCAACAAGGTCAGTTATCGTCTCGAAACGAGGAACCAGCGTGTACGCGGCAAACGGTGCACGCTGTTGCTCACCGTGAAATTCTGCACGGTGTGACGAGACAATTGCGAATTGACCCATCGCAACGTCGCATGGAAACCGGGCGAGCCTTCCTTCATGAAGTACGACAAGTAGGTCATTCCCGATAATTCGTCCAAATATGGGGACGCAAGGTACTCTGGTTCCAGTACCATAGGTATATCGAAATCACGCTTCGAGATCTCCATAGCTTTCCGGCAATTGTACACGCTGCGAACAAAAAAGGATCGGTGCGTAACGCGTCGTCGTGGATCGTGGATCGTGGAAACGTCGGGCCGTCCGTTCGGTTACCTATCGTTCGGATCGAGCTGACGCCAATGAGGGAACAGGCCGGGCTGGCAATAATCGATCAGAGCGCTCAGGTGGACGCCGGAGTTCCAGTCCGTCGTGAAATTATTCACCCTGCACTCCGGTAGGACCGCCTAAACGAGGGAACAGCATCGATGAATCCGCGGAATCGAGGCCGCGGGATTTCGTTACATATTTCCACGTCGAGATTACGGCCGCGCGATGCGGCAAGGTCGACCGTGCAATTACGTGTACTGACCTTGAGCCATGCGAGCATGAGTTTCCTTGGAGGGAACTTGGACTTGCCTATTTGGTACCTCACAATGAGCGACCATATCAGGCCGAGGATCAGTTTCAAATTTCCATTCACGATGTCCACGTTGCCTGCGAACCAGAATAAATCATTATCGAAGTGCGCCCGGTCGATTCTTCGATCGGAAGAACGAACGAACGGTAGAGAAAGAGGAAAAGGAAGAAAGAGAAGAAGAAACGGTTGCAGTCGGCGTGAAAACCGACGCTAAAGCCGGAGGTTTTTCAACTGTAGCTCGAGCCGCGCTGCCGGCGCGAATCGAAACGATAGATATTTCGTCGATCCCCGGATTCTTTTTCCCCGGTCGACGGCGGCTCGAAACGAACGGGACACGCGCGCACCGAACGCGGTTTATCGCGGATGCATCGCGCAGCCGCTAGCACGCCGGGAATTCATTTAGTCGTCGGCTAAACACGAACATAATCGTAATGGGACTCGGGCAGTCTCGTAGGCGCCGATAGAGCGCAAGAAAGGCAACGACCTCGAAGTCCGATTTGCGATCCGTGACGTAACAGCTATATATTTTCGATGTTGACGCGTAACCGGTGTGCTCGGGGCGGACGTTATTACGGTTTGCTCGTTGCGAGCGAACACTCGTCGCGAGCGATGCATCGCGTCGATATGCACTGCCGATTCACGCGCAACTATTTACTCTGATACGGTATCGCGTTCCGAGTAGTAGTAACCGCCGGCATGCCTCAGACCACGAGGCCAGGCTTCGAGGTACCCGCGATTCGACATCTTTACCTCGTTCGATCGGTAGCAGTTTCTGTCCGAGTCGTCGGACGCAAGGAGACCGCGGAAGGTTCTCCCAGATGCCCCGACAGCATTAACCTTTCAGCCACCGCGGTGCTACCCGCGAAGTACCTCTGTACGGCAAGGTTTCGCGTCCGCGTGTCATGCATATAACATCACCGCGATTCCAGACTAATCGAATTTTCCGCTGTAAACACGTTAGATTAGACTGTAATGCACGCAACCATCGATGACAGAATCGTGCCGCTACAGTGGCGTGCCTCGCAGAGACAATACACGCGGAAGCCACAATGGCGTACGGCAGCCGAAAGGTTAACCGTTTCCAGTTTTCGTCGCGGCAGCCATTGCGAGCCATTTTCCCGCTCACGCTCGCGGTATACTTGACCAACGAACAAAACGCGTCGCAAGTGGGTTATCTGCGGCGCGATTATCCGAGAAGGCGTTCAGAATAGAATTGCGAAACGCAACGACGAGCGCCGACGGTGAAGCCATTCGAAGAGTACCCTGCGGAATCAAGGTGAATACTACACGCAGCTGGAGGGGGGCAAAGTCGGGGAATCGTTGAACGAACGCGTTCACTCACCGATATTGACCAGCTTGACGCCGTCGGCCTCGATGGCCTGCAGCGCGGTCGACACGTTCTCCAGGTGGTGGTGTTGATTCGCGGGCCTGGGATTCCACCGGGGTAGCCGCCGCTTGGTCAGCACCTCGACCAGAGCGCAGAGCCTCGTGCCGTCCCGGAAATCCTCCGCGAGATCGATCACCGGCCCGTCCGCGGCGTCCGCGGCGTGCTTCAGGTGCTCGTTCACCCAATTCCTGAACGTGTTCGCCTGGATCTCGACCCACAGGTCCTCGTTCCCTTTGATCGGCATCCCTTTGGCCGCGGTCCCCTCCGCGGAGCGAGCCACCAGACCCACCAGTTGCTCCGGTCGTAATTGCTCGGTCGGTTCCATGCCTCTTTTTTGCTAGCTCCGTTTTATCGTTGCAAAACCGCGAGATACAGAGTCCGAGGTGTCGTCAACGGGACAAGGACATTGGTGGGGTGAACGCTGTCGGAAGCAAAATTAATATCGGTCATTTCGGTTGATAGATTAATCAGCTGCGGGTGACGATAAATGGATGCTCGACGATTACCGTCAACGTGCACACCGCAACGCGCGATCGACCGGTCTCCGAGAACAATTGAACCCTCGGGTCAAGTGGACCCTATAAGACGAACGACGTGTACGTGCCGAATGGAGCGAGACTAATAAATTCCTCGCGGATTCCTCCGAGTGGATCGCGGCACGGTCTCGTTGCGCGGGAAGATTAGTTAAAAAAGTTTCACGCGGTGAAAGTGTCCGCCGCGGACACCTGTTGTTGCCGTTTGCCGCCTCCTCCCCGACGCTCGGATGCGCTTTGGGTCTACCATTCTAAAAACAACCGCTGGGAGCTGCACGTCCGCATCGCCGCATCGGCTTTTCGGTCGAATTTGCTGAATATATTTTACAGCCGCGGCGCGGGAGAAAGGAAACAAGAAAGCGTAGAAACGATACACGCCGGCTACGATTTTCTCAAGAAAGCCTACGAACGAGCAGCTCGTTCGCAACAATGACGCGGCTGCGAATCGGTTGCCGGGTAGCATCCGAGCTACGACTATCCTCGGGATCCGATCGGCGTGGTATCTCGCGACGTTCTCACGGAATTGGCTCGGGACTCGTTTTCGGAAAACCTGCGGCTTTTAGGTTATGTTATCGGCCCGGTGAACGAAAGGCGTGTTCCGTGCGAGATTGATCGTACGTGTCACGGAACGGATAAAGATCCGATCGTGATCTAATCGTCCGCGGTACGTACAAGAGAGATGCGTTAACGCGACATCGGGTGCACACGTGCCGAAGGTGTTGCTTACTCCGCGCTACGCCACGCTATGACATCACTGTCGCCTGAAAACCTTGCCCGACCGGCGAAGCTTGCGTAAGTGCGTAAAAATTGACCACCGGATGGAGAGGAAAGATTGACGCGGGACACCGGTGTGCCTGTGGTCGATCGCGGCCGATACTTTCAAACGGCACACGGTTCAAACGTGACGCAGATTTCGCGAGGCCGGACACGCTGCCAGCGGGAAACTTCGCCGACAAAGGAAAACAACCCTCGCCGGAGAGTTTCACGGCGAGAACAGGATGGCCGGGACGAGCCGCGATTGCGACGCAAATGAGGCGAGTAACGACGCAATCGCGGTTCGACAGCCGCGAGAACCTCGCTAATTACAGGAACGCGAAAAGCGAAACGCGATCCTCCGTGTCAGGCGCGTCTCGTGGGAAACTTGTTCGATGAGGCGCAACAGCTAGATACGTACGTCCATCGATGCCGTATTCGCTCGCACGCACGAAATTCGGTTCCCTCGCCGTCACTTTCACCGCGATCGTCTATTCAGAGATTTTCCCGGAGCCGATCGTTCAACCCTCCGGCGATAGGTTTACGGGGCCGGTAACGTCGCGGCTCGCTCGTCCCTCGACGCCGGCCGACGATCGATAGTTAATAAATCCAATTAGCGACGGACGGACTGTTCGCACGGGAACGGGGAAAACGTCGATCTTTGGAGAAAAAATCGCGGCGAGCCTTCGCGAGAACGATCCTCGATTGGCCACCCGTCGACGGACCGGCCAATCGGAGTTCCCGTCCGAAGGGCGCGATTAGGGAACGAATTGTTCGAAGAACACACGACACGGGTCAGGGGGATATTTAAAAACTCCCGTCCCGAGGACTCGGTCGACAGAAATGTTTTGATCGCGCGCGCACCGTCGCGCCGTCGGTGTGTACGTTCACTGGCGCGCGCGCTCGAGGATGTAACGATGCTCGGCATGCAAACTGATATTTACGTCGGTGGTTCCCTTCTCGGAGCTCCTCGGGAACGAAATCCTCCTGCGCTAGGTCCACGGGAGTTCCCTGTCGGACGGAGCTCCGCCGGTCTCGTTTTCCACACGCGTAGACGGTGCCGAGAGAGCACGGCTCGATGATATTGCGGCGAGCTACGCGAGAAACGCCATTTTTGGACGTTGCGGCTCTCCGGATCGGTCGAATCGGATCGGATCGCGCCGTTGCCGACGAGCGTCGTTCGAACTACGTCAACTCACTGAACCGACGTGAAAATCCTCCGCCCTCCGCACCGCTTCACGCGATCGCCTTCCGAGACACCGTTGGAACACAGCCACGCGATCCCAACAAATGATACGCTGCTGTGCCCACCTGTCCCCCACTTCGCGCCACCGTCGCTACCACCACCTCCGCCGCCTTTTCCTTCCACTACTCCCATTTGCAATGGAAACGAATAACGCTCGATTAAAACCAACGAGAATAGCCGGCCGATGCGCATCCCATTGCTCCCGGAGAAACGTGCTTCGAACGAAATCCCACCTGAAATCGAACATATTTCTTTTCTCCCGTTTCCTCGATCGATCGTCGTCGGTGTCGAACGTCGTACGGGATATTCGTCGCCGATCTTAACTCGCGTCGACGCGCAGACGATACCTTTTTCCACGCCGACGAAGCGCTCGACATTTGCAGGACTGTTTACTTACGCGCGCGCAATGCGATCGCGCTTACGATTTATCCTCGAGACTTGTAGTTGCTCGGATACTTTCCTCGAATCCGCTCGCTGGAAGCAGGTGAATTATTCCGCGAGGTGGTGACACCTGTCGCTTTCGTGTTCGCCGGGTTGCAGGCGTACAGGCGCGAAGAGCCGCTGAAAAATCGAACGTATTCACAATAGTGTCTTCTGACGAGACACTATTAGCATCGAAACACGTTATCCTTGTTCTCCGCTCGCAACGCCGGCAACGGAGAACTGCGATTCTACACTGAATAAAACTAATTCGAAGATACAACGACGCGTGATCCCTTCGTCCAGCATCGAAGTCTCCGAACTCTAGGTAAACCGAACACGAGGGCCACGCGCAGCGTGCGTCGCGCAACGCGTCGTTCTTTAACCTCTTTTATCTCCGTTGCGATCTGCAACGAGTGTTCCCTCGATAAAAGTCGATCGCGGAATGCAACTCTGAAACGTGAATATTCGTTAAGACAATGTATCGCAGCCGATCGTTGAGGAATACGGTGCGAAGTAAATGTGAAACGCATCGACCGGGCATGGCAGGTGCTTTATCGACCGAGCACGAGACTTCCTTACCGACGATCGAGGCGGTCCAGCTCCTCGATGCCCGCAGCCGACACAGCTGATTCCCGAAGCCGATCGAATCCGATCGCGCGCCCGTTGCCCCGGATTCCGCGGATCGATGCGATCCGAGGCCATAGCGCGAAGGCGGCACTGCGAAAAGGTCGTTCGTTAATTACAATGGACGCGTTGCGATGATACTTAAGAGAGCAGAGCGTTTAAGAGAGTAGTTCTCTCGGAAAAATTCTATATAGGGCTTGGCAGGGCGCCGGCGCCGCTCTATAAATAGCGCGCACAACGCCAAGCCGCGGGTTGCGGCCCGTGGACAAAGTAACAGGAGAGGCAGCAATCGGGTGCGCGCGACGACCACGATACCAGTGAACGGTGGTACATTTCGCCGCCTCGAACCACCTACCCTCGCGAACGTTTTATTCGGTTCGGTCGTTGGTCCGAGGCAACCCGTGCCGATCAATTCGACGCGTTCGCGGCGCGTGGTGCATCAGCGTTTCACGCCGCGCCGTACGGCTCGTCACCAGCAGCCAGGGGTTACCGGGACCGCTTACCCTCGAGGGAAACATTGCAGAGGAGATTGCTCGCGTCGCGTTGCCCGATCGGTTTCCGTGCCGGTGTTTCGCCACGGCTCGGATTTGCTCGGCTAAAATTACACGACCAGTGATCGAGGAACGCCGTTGAAAACGTGCAACGTGCAGCGTGCCCGTTGACGCAATGGCACACTTTAAGATGTGACTCCTTCCTTCGTTCACGCTTCGATCGCGTCAGCTGATCGACAACGTGTAGCGAACAAATTAGGTGATTATGTGAGTTCTCGTTTGAACCGACTTTACCGAGGCGCGTTCTTCTCCTCTTTCCTCCTCCCTCTCTCTCTCTCTCTCTCTCCGTCCATCTGTCCGGCAATCTACCATTTCCCTTTTCGCCAGCCGCACGGTTCTCTAGCCGGCTGCTTACAGACAAACTAATTATACTCTCTCCTCGTGTCGAGAGGTTACTAACCAGCTCGGACAACCCCTTCTGCCAGGCGCACGAGCGGACCCGAGACACGTGCAGGGACCCTAGGATCCGTTCGTGCACCCCTACCTTCCGGCAACATTCCACTAGACTTCGCCGAACGTTCCGTCGAGACACGATTGAATCGCCGATAACGTCGATCGATTCTCTCTCGGCCATCGGAACACTCGGGACGGTTTTATCGCTCTCCTCCCGATGAGAACGGAACGGAAATACACTCGATTCCCTTTCGGAACCGCTCGCACGATCCATCGGAGAAAACGATCGTTCGCCGAGCTTCGAACCAACCTTCGGGCCCGCCTAAAGAATATAATAAGTATTTTTACGCGAAGGATAAAGGGTGTATCGAGTTACGCGGCCCGTGAGACCTCGTTTCGTGTTATAACCATGGAACGCTTATTTTTACGCGACAATTCGCGCGTACAAGCTCGCTATACCCTTCTCGTCGTCAATTCGTTACAGCTGCTGCTCCCGCTGCTAGTTGAAAAATACGCTCCGAAGCGACGCGCGCGATACGGTGTCCCTCTACGAACCGAACGCTCGAAATCACGTCGGATTCGTCCGATTGTAAAATACTTTTCTTCCGTTCACCCGCTATACAAGTTTACGTCTATGCAAACTTTTTCGACGCGCCGATGCGCGCACCGTTTGGTACCGCTTCCGGTGGCCGTGAAAAGGGGCTTCCGACGTGGTATCGATAAGCACGCGTTATCGCGGAGATCCTATGGAAGTTAGCACGAATGAGTTCTAGCTGCGATCCGCGGGCAGCAATTTAGATCGTGATCGATGGGCACAACAAGTGTCCGCGGGTCGGTTGGCGCGGTGCGCTGGTCCCGCGCACGGGGATCTCGTCGTATAAATTTCTCGGCTCGGGTGAAACGGATCTCGCGGGCCGACCGCCAAAAAGGATTTCCTTTCCGTTTGAGATTCGGTTCGTCGACTGACGAGATCTATTTTCTTGGGCGTATCGCGAGGCCGCGCGCGTCCCCGGCGGTGTATTTATGCCGTTTGCGTGAAACAACGAACACGTTGCCCCCGGGGCTAAAGCCAGCTGCGCGTTTCGGAGCGAAACTATCGCGAGTCGCTCCTGAAAAGATGTCCCTCCCGAGGATACCGATGGAAACGACGACTCTAAACGCACCGTCCGCCGACGAGACACGCCGTCGACAGCGACTCGCGATAGTTTTATTCGGAAATGGACAGCTAGCTTAACGCTCGCTCGCTGACGGGTAAATCGGTGCGTGCGTGTGACACGCACGAAAATAGGACGCGGCGTGCGGCCCGTTCCGAGAGGACGATCGCCGCGTCCCCCAGCTGGCCTGGTAGTACGATTAATCGTTTGTTTGTGGTTTGTTGGTTCCGACGATTCAGCGGCGAACATGGCTCTGGTGATGCTGCCCTGCGACCTGCCGTGGTGGCCAGCCGTGGTCAAGCAACTGGACCGCGCGGCCGCCGCCAGAGACTCCGAGAATCTCGTGGAGGCGATGCAACGCTTGCACGACATGTGCAAGTAAGTATCCTCGTGGACGCCGCGGGTCAACGGTCACCGATGGAAGAGACGCGGTCGATCGGTCCCGCGTAGAATCCTCAAAATACGGAAACCGTTCGACCGGATCTCTTCCATCCGCTACGTCCGGGTTTCCGATACCGATCGGGATCGCGTATCAGACGCGAATCCGAGCGAAGTTAACGAACACGCTTTTTTCTGCCACACGCTGTTAAAAAGACGCGAGGAACAGTGCATACTGAAAAGGTACCCGACCAAACGTATTTCTAAGTATCCGTAAGACGATGTACCCCCTGCGAATGCCTCCGAAACGGCAGACACCTTTGCACCGAAAGAATACCACCCACCCTCTCTGTATTCCGCATTTTCTATCGCCTCTACACGATACGTGTGTGTCTCCCGTCGACGTGCCGGCCCGAGCGAACGGCGTATTCGATAGCGACGCGGTGTTTCAGCATCAGCCTCGATCCCGAGGAGGACTCGCAGGACCCCGAGCTGTTCTCCGGATTGGCGTCGTTCCTCGACGCGGACCTCGACTCGGCGGAACGGGGACACGTGCTCGGCAAGACGATACCGCGGATGGTGGAACGGGCGAAAGCGTTGAGAAGCTGCAAACCTCCGCAGGGGTTGCACTTCAGCCTCCAGCAACAAGGTGACTCGCGCGAGCGTCGCGGCGATCCGCGGTGGGAAAGGTGTATCTCAATTGGATCGGTGTCTATGTGCTACAGGTGACTGCGTCGAGTACAGCTACGGGTTCGTCTCGTCCCTGATCGCGAACGCGTTCTTCTCCACGTACCCGAAGAGGACCGCGAAAACCCATCCGACCCTGCGCGACTTCAATTTCACCAACTTCTTCAAGCACCTTCGAAAGTAAGATTATCCGAGCGGGCCGTTGTCGGGCGTAGCGAACTAAAAGAACAGAGTAGAGAGAGAAGCATTGAAACCGGTGGGAGAGAGATTAGTAAATTGGCGTCGTTTTCAGTAACGGACAGAAAGCGAAACTGAAAAGTATCTTTCACTACTACGACTATCTGGACACGGAGAACGCGTTGGACGGTAAACTGGTGATCTCCAGGCAGGTAGGTTGCTTATAATTCGCGACTACTAATCGGACACCGAAAATCGCTTTCCGATTCGACTAAAGTCCATTAAAAGCTGCGAAAGAGGAAACAGTGGAAAACGAAAGGAACGATTCTCTAGGTAATGACGTCGAAGCAGTGGCTGACCATCGAGGATTGGCTGGAGAGCAGCGTGCCCCTCTGCCCGCTGATGATACGGCACGAGGGTCGGTTGGAGAGGGTGGAACCGGAAACGAAAGTATTGCGCGTTTGCTTCGCGAGCGCGAAGTTTGGCGGCGGCGTGCTTGACGGTGATGTTACGCAAGAAACTGTACATGTAAATAATTAAAGGCAAACGCGCGACGAACTTACACTTCCGATTCGCGTGGACGTCGCGCGCGCTCTTTTGCTTCGGAACGACGGAGATCTGCGAGCCGCGGACCGACTGGGAGATTACAACGATTATCTCTGTTGCATTTAGATAGCGACGCATCCCGAGATGCTCGCGGCGATTCTGTCGGTCGAGGCTTTAGAGGACAACGAAGCTCTGATAGTGGAAGGCGTTAGACACGTGTCTCGAATAAACGATCCCCGCAACAGAGCCACGTTCGAGGCTCTGGCCAAACCGAATACCGTGAGTAATGCGATTCACCCTTTAACCCTGTGACCACTGTTGCCGTCCAAAGGCGGTCATCGAAAAGCTTGCGCTTGAAACTATCGAAAGCTCGACGAATTTCTACCGTCCTCGTAACAGGTGACGGTCTGCTGCATCGACCCCGAGGATTACTCGACGCTGCCCCTGCCGCAATTCGAGGAGGACAACGTGCTACGGGAAATGAACAAATCGTTGCTCGGGTTTCGGCAGAGACGCGTGCCGAGCAGCCCGACGGATCCGGTCGGCAAGTCGGAGTTGGATCCGGACGGCGCGTTGAGCTCTCGCAGACTCTCGCCGATCGGAGAGAGCTTCAGCAGTACACCGCCGGAAACGGACGCCGACGACAAGCCGGTGTCCGCGAATCACGACGTTAGAGAAGGTAACCACCAGCTGAAATTCAAGCGCGACCGTTGGAGTCGATCGTTGCGAGCTGTTAAGAGCGAGCGCGGTGCTTTCAGGGAAATCGACCGAGCAGAGCAAGTGCGACGGTCCGACGGAGGTTCGCACCAGGCCGAACGGCAAGTCCGTCAGGCCGCCGAGCCCTCACAAGACGTGCAAGGACGCCAGCTGCACCAGCAGGAGGAGCCGATTCATAGTCCTCGGCTCGAGCGGAGAAGTTCTGCCCGTCACGCGGAAGTCGCTCGGGCAAATGTCGGTGTACAGCAGCTGCAATAGCCAGAGCACGGACAGCTTTCACAGCGCGAAAGACGTGATAGACGAAGATCTCGGTACGTGACACCGGTGACCGGCTGGCTCGGTCGTGAAACAGAGGGTACACATACATGTTACGCGCGGTGATGTTTAGAGGAGGAAGAGCAGAGGTTGAGCAAGCGGTACAGCAGTCAATTGGACACGCCGGAGAGGAGGGGGACGTTCGCCCAGCGTCTGAGGGACGCTCTGAAGCGCGAGAGCACGGCGACCGGCGGCGCGACTTCCTCGAACACCTCGTCCGGAGAGAGCAGCTACGCGGTAGGGATAAGCGTGTCCGGGAGTCACGTTTACGATCAAGATATTAAGTAAGCAAGTTTGATCTTGCACGCGTTTGCACGCGGGAAAGCGACGCTACGCGTAGATCGAATCTGCGTTACAGGGTGAAAAGGGGTGGCTCGAGGGGCTTCGTCCTCAGAGACGAAACCGTGGACGAGGAGTTTCTGAAGGAGTCGTTGGAAGCGGAGCAAAAGTGGCTGGGTAGGTTCCGGCAAAATCAATCCACGCTTCAGCGGAGAGACACGAGCGCTAGCAGTAGATACAGTTTCAGCACCGAATACAATTCTGGCAAGTATTACGAAACGGAATCTCTCTCTCTCTCTCTCCGCGTAGAATAATATCTTTCGTCACTCTCTAAATATAACCGAAAGCGAACCGATTTCATCTTCGTGCGTGTAGATTTTTGTTCGGAGCTCGAGGAGGTGTACGAGCAGCTAGCGAAATGGTTGGAAGAGCCTGCAGCGGCGGACGAGTCCCGCGAATTAGACGCGAGAGACAGGGCGGTGGTTCGGTTCGCCGGCTCGTTGTTGAAGAGAGCTCTCAGCGAGTCGTTCGCCGGCGTGCCGGTACAGGAGGGTGAACCGCAACCCCTCATTGATTCCGTCGACGTGAATCAAAGGCACAAGCTGGCTTTGGCCGTCAGAAGTTTGAGTTTAGAGCTAGCCCGACAAAAAAATAGGAGACAGCAATCAGTAAGAGACAAAGACTACTTTTTTTTCTCTCTGTCGATCGATATCGTGTATATACATATTATATTATATTATATATACGTGTATACATGTATGTATGTATACATGATCGGTATACGATAACGTTGTCGAGCAAAAAGACACGCTTCCTCTCTCACACGATCACAATCACACAACCACAACCAGACACACACACACAAACACACACACACATACGCATACACATACACATACACGTAAGATTTCTATGGATCGAATACGATGACGTTTATCGGAAATGTTGTTCTTTTCTTTTTTAATCTGCCGCGTCGTCGAAGAATGAGAGACAAACTGAAAACTAATGCTCTACCCCAGATACCATCGTCTTTCGTACGTAGCCAAGTCTCACCGGATCATTACGGTACGCAGGTCTCAGACTCCGAAGACGTAGAATATTACGAAGACGCTTTAAGTAATCATACCACGTCGAGAGAGGTAAAGGATATCCAACGTAAAAAGCTTAGGACGGTAACGTTCACGTCCGAACTTTTTCAAACATTGGTCGACGACGAAACTACCGTGTATCTGTCTAATCCTGTTTCTTTAAGTACATCTGGACCCATAAAGGATAATCTTGCGCAAGAATTCGAATCGCATGCTACACTTAACGTGAGCAAACTTTGTGTTACACGTATACGTAAAATCTTGTTTCATAAATGTAATGCATGCATCGATACTATTCACCGCAGAGATCGCGTTTACTCTCTCGCCGCTGCTTAATTAAACAACACTACTCTCAACGCTTGACTTGTCCGATTTGTTGACGAGAAACAACGAAGAGGATAGAGAAAGAAAGAAAGAAAGAAAGAAAGAAAGAAAGAAAGAAAGAAAGAAAGAAAAATAGAGAAAGATTAGAAAAGAAAATTTGTGATTTCTGCACGCTAACGTCGCCACTGGTCGCATGTTAAATAACAAAATGTGTCTCTAACTCCAAGGTATTGTTACAGAAACATACGTGCCTCTAACGATGAATGATTTGTCTCTCATTCTATTTGATTATCGTCTGTCACTCTGTCACTTGTGTTCACGTGTAACATTTCCATACTTTCCGAAATAACACTGCCCGGAATTTGCCCGAAACTCGCAGAGAACTCGTTTCCTATGATTGCCGAAAATGTATTTTTCATTGTTCTATTAGTTTTGCATTCTGCGGGAAGAGATAACAGATCACGCGTGAATCCCGTCGCTCCGGGTTTACCGAGACGTTTCTTTTAGATACCGAGAGACAGTAGTCCGCAATCCGGTGGATTGTTGCCTGTCGCCACTGGAAATTGGGGATGCGGATCTCGATTGAAAGGGGACCCCCAGTTGAAGCTTGTTATTCAGTGGCTCGCCGCTTCTTTGGCGGGCGTGCCAAAATTAATATATTACACGGCAGGGAATCCCAGGCTATCGAAGGTAACGGATTAGTATGTAATGCCATCTTGTCGCGTATACGTAACGAGACAGTTGAGAAATTTACGTAACCGAATCGAGAATAATTCTTCAGTTAGATACTGTGAGCAGAGTACTGATGGACAGGCATTGGTCGGTCGGCGATCTGGCCGCCGCCACGTTAAGATTTTCATTGCAAATTATGGAGGAAAGAACCGAGGGAAGGAACACGCTGTTCGAAGAGATAATCGGCATGGACAAACCTAGTCCTTAGCCCGACTCGATGCTGTCCGTTCTGGTGGACATTTTAGCCACCATGATCGAGGACAGCCTGCTGAACGCTTAACGCCGATTCTATTACCAGAGGAGAACCGTCTGCGAGAACTCTCGCAGCTGACGAACGAATTTAGAAGCAGGCGTGACGACCGTCGCAGAAACCTTTCGTTTACCAACAATTTTTTACGAATCGATACGATATGGGGGAAACATCGATCCCCGCGGTTTCCAATGTTTCATATCAATGCAATATCAAACAAAATCGCACAACTCAGCGTACAAAGGGGAATACTTAAAATACAAAACGAGAATTTAAATACAGTTTAAGTGAACGATACAGGCGAACAAAGTCAAAAAGTGTTGTTATTACAGGTTGTACGAGAGACAACTGTGTTATATGATTTTCCGGTGTATATTGTCATTGTTGTCCTAACAGTATTTATAGAGATTTAATAGTCTATATTCACGGAAAATGTCAATTCAGATTTATGTTCGTATAGAATACGTGTAACCTGAGATACGGTTACCTGCAATAACTAACGAGGCACAATATATCACACTATATTTTGTACAGTATAATATTTAAAGTCGTTGTATGTGTCGGATCAACGCGTATGTAATAACTTAATGAATTTTT